AAACCTCTGAAGCTGTAAGCCAAGACTAAGCCGTCCCTTCCACGCTGTGTGTCGGGTGTTTTGTTCTGCAGTGGAACATTGACTGATATCCCTCGTACTGCAGCTCCATGTAAATGCAACACCTTGGCAGTGTACATGTGTGGTACATGTGCCTCTGTGTCATCACTGTCCCTTAGAGCTGACGGTGCTTATTCATCCCACCATCCATTCCATCCTGCAAGCGCACAACTTCACCCTCCTTTTGAAGGACAGGCTGTTTTCCCTCCCAAAGACTTCGGAGAGGGCCCCTTATGCTTCTTAGGCAGGGAATGACACAGGAGGACATCACTGCCCTCTCTGCCTCCTGCACCCGTGGGCCACACAATAGGTGCTCGATAAACATGGGTTGAACTGGACCTGTCAGGGAAGCCTTTCACAAAGGAAGCTGTATGGGCTCCATAGACTGGAGTGTCTCCTAGCCTTAAGAACCATGAGTAAACTAAGAGCAGCTCGCACGTGCTCTTGCATGTTAGGCGGTCATTTGACCATCAGTGTCCACTTTGCACTGAGGAAGGCAAAGTGTGAACAAGCCCAGGCCTCCACCAAAAACAGAAAGAAAAGGCATCACAGCGCCGGGCCCTGGGAGCAGGGAACTGCACAGCACCCGTCTTCCTGTCTTCCTGTCTTCCTGGAGCATCCGATGCCTGAGCCCGTGGAGGGAAAGGCCGGGAGGAGAGAGGGAGGTGTGGGAGCACCTGGGTCATCAGGGAATGGGATCAGGTGGGAACACAGGGTCCTGAGATGGAAGGAGGAGTAGACACAATGGGGGTGAGCTAGGAATCTTACTTGTGGTCTGTTCTCCTCTGGACCTTGCTGAGGGTCCCTGCTGACCAGGGCCTGCGTATCATCCTGTTCATCTCATCTCCCTTCCCAGAGTGAGTGCAGAGGGCTCCAACCCCAAGAGTGACAGTGGGATGGCCTGTCCTGTGGGACAGAGGTGAGTGGGTGGATGGACCCAACCCATCAGGCAAAGGAGGGTCCCCGCCCTGACCAGAAAAAAAAGGCGCTGTCCCTTCACCTCCTCCACACTACAAAACTGTATCTCCGCTCTCTGCTGCTTCTTGCCGGAGGAGACACCCTGAGCTTACCTCCTTGGAGCAGCTTCGGGCTGCCACGTGCCAGGCCACCTGTGCTTCGGCCTTTCTGTTAGTCAAAAGGGCAGAGGCTAGGCAGCGGTCACCTCAGGTGCAGAGGGTTCTGCGTCCCCAACACCCAGGGGAGTGCCATTTAGTCAAGTCACCAGACCCGTGGGCCGACCCCTGCTTGTGTTCATGGCCCAGGCACCGATGCAGGCCTAGCGCAGGGCAGATGATGGGGCACTGCTCACTGACAAAAGGGCAGGGCTTTTCTGTGTGAGCTGCACCCAGTGTAGCACACATAGCTGATTCCCAGACCTTCTACCACCAGGGGAAGCGTGGGTGTGATGAGGGAGGCTGACATCCCCAATGGCAAGAGGACCCGGGCTATGGGGTGGTGAGGCAATCCAAGGGGGCCTTGGAAGTTAAAAGGGGGCAGGTGGCCAAGAGGAGGTGACAGAGCCTGGCGCGGTGGCACACGCCTATGATCCCAGCACTTAGGGGGCTGATGCAGAAGGATCATTACAAGGAAGATCAAGATCAGCCTGAGCTACAAAGCTCCAGGCCACCTGAACCGCATAGCAAGACCCTGTCTCAAAAAGATGAAAGACCCCCCCCCCCAAAAAAAACAAAAAAACAAAAAACAAAAAAACAAAGTGACAGTGGTGAGGGCCACCAGCCGGAGGGCAGGCGATGCTGGAGGGGAGAACAGTGGAACAGCCTTGCCCCAGAGACCTGGCCTCATGGAAGGGACTTGTGGTTTATGATAATTTGTAAAGGAATGCGATAGGAAATGAATATACCTAGCCCTACCCTTACAGTTTAAGGCCATACACAACTCAGTGATTTTGCTTTTTATTTATTTTGAGGCAGGGTCTCACTATGTAGCCCAGGCTGGCCTTGAACTCACAATGCTCCTCCTGCGTCAGCCTCCCATGTGCTGGGGTTACAGAAGTGTGCCCCTACCTGGACATCGTTAACAGATGCAGATCAGATCTATAGGCACGGAGGGTGAGCAGGATGAGGTGTCTGAAGGTCCGTCCGACTGATTCTGGTTCTGTGACCCTGACACAGGAAGTGCTGGCATCTCTCTCACTCACAGCTCCACAGCCAGAAGGCCTCCCTGCCTCGTCAAGAGCTGGGTCCAGAAGGGGCCGCACTGGGCAGTGGGCTCATGGTCACAAGCCTGGGCCAGGGAAGCTGCGCCTGTGCATGTGGCCTGAGTGGCTCTGTAGTCGCTGTGGCCTGGGAAGCATCACTCATGGGCGCGTCCTGAGCAGCCCCATGACGGGCCTGGCCCCCACTCGTGTTGGGTCTCCTTGCTTCCCCACTGCTGTGAGGTCAGCCGCATCCTCAGCCATAACTCCCATCCCTACGGGCCGCCTTACTCAGGCCCAAGGCAGCAGCCCCCAGATGGACAGATGGACAATGGGTGGAAACCGCCAGGCCCTTCCCACTTTGGCATGGAGATGAAAGCGAGACTAACATCAAAAAGTATCAGAAGTGCTGAGAGGATCACAGCAACCTATAATGCTAACTGGAAAACTCCCAGGAGAAAACCAGATGAACTCTCGTCTGTGACATTTCAGTCATTAAAGAGGCAAGGCAGAAAGAATTAATAGAAGTTAGACATGTTTGGTTTTCAAAGGACATGGGCAAGAGAATGAAAAGACAGGCCAGGCATGGTAGCATGCACCTACTATGCCAGCACTCTGGGAAGCTGAGGCAGAAGAATCACAAGTTTGAGCCAGCCTGGGCACTTGATTTAGTAAAATCTTGCCTTAAAATAAAAAATAAGAAGTGCTAAGAATGGAGTTCACTAGAGAAAGTCCTGATGGTTCAGTCTGTAACCTGTAATACTGGAGGGAGGAAGAGAGACTGAAGGAGAGACGGGGAGAGATCCAAGACTGGAAGAAAATAGTTCCAAGAGACATATATGACACAGAAATGCTTTCTAAAATGCCCAAAGGACTCTTAAAACACAACCAAAGCTGGGCATGGTGGTAAACACCTGCACACACCAGATACTTGGGAAGCAGAGGTATGAAGATCCCTGGAGCCTGAGGAGTCTGGAATACAGCAAGCTCCACCCAACTCAAAGAACCCAATTAAAAGTGAGCCCAAGACTCTGACCAATGCCAATCTCTGAAGGAGATGCAGGTGACAAATAAGCACCTGTCACCTGTCACCAAGGAAATGCAGCTTAGGTGGCCATGAAATGTCACCCCACAGCAGGCCAGCCACACTGGACCCCTTCCTATGCAGGCTGGAACAAGGAGCACAGGCTCCACCCCTCATCCCCCTGGACTCACTTGAGAAAGCCTCCTCCTGCACTTGCAGTGGCACCAGGGGCTCTGGGAGAGCAGGGGACACAGCCAACTGTGCCTCTTCCCGGTGCCCAGGCCTGACATTTTCATTCCCAATTCACTCTATAGGGCTGCATTTGCCTAATTCTTTTGTTACAGCTTAAAAACAACCTATATACTTTTAAAAGACTGACCTCGAAGCCCTTTTCAACTTTAAGACTCAGTGGTCGGGCATGGAGGTACATGCCAGTAATCAAGCACTTGGGGAAGCTGAGGCAGGAGGACTTTCATGAGCTGGAGGCCAGCCTGGGCTACACAGTAAAATCAATGCTAGCCTGGACTACTAGTGAGACCCTGTCTGAATGAAAGAAAAGGAAAGGAAAAATAAAGAAAGAGAAAGACTGAATGGCTCATCCCATTGATAAGGAAGGCTTTGAAAACCTATTTGGGGGGCTAGGGATTTAGCTCAGCGGCATAAGCGCCTGCCTTGCAAGCAGGCAGTCGCGAGTTTGATCCCCGGTACCGATAAAAAAAGAAAAAAAAGACAAAAAAAAAGAAAACCTATTTGGACGTCAGCTGGACGCATGTCTCCCAGCCCAGACTCAAGACAGTAAGAGACAGGCCGAGTAAGAGAGAAAAGCACCACTAGCAGATGGACTGCACTTCATGCCATTTACAGCACAAAACACACCCATTTCTTCTCCCTGACCTCTGCAGATGGTCAAGGAAACCTTACACTGCGAGGGGTTGGGACACCTGCCCTGATCCCTCTCTGGTCGGTGGCTCACAGGGAGCTGCTATGTCCTGCACGGTACCCGGCCCAGCTGCCCTCACACAGGCCTCCTCCACCACAGAGAGCACCGCTGAAACCCTGCCTCCTCAGAAGATTTGAGAACTGACCAATGTAAGGCAACTAAAGCAGAAGCCTTGGTGCAGCAGAGGCCCGCAGCACGAGAAAGCCGACCCAAGACTGCTGGGATGCCTCACTCTACAAGTGCTGAAGCCCAGTGGCGATTCCCATGGGCAGGGCCGCACTGGAGGTCAGGGAAGGTACTCAAGGGAGGGAGGGTTTGGGTGTCAGCAGCTTCTAAGTTTAGGGAAGAAGCCAAGGAAAACTGAGGACCACACTGACCCTGGACAAGGCAGATAGTAATGAGTTGTGGCCCTGGCCACTGAGAGCACCATACTGGTCACAGCCCTCACATGGCCAGCTGCCGCTCGCCCAGCCTTGGACAGCACTGTCCCATTGGGAATTCTGTCCTTTCACCACATCTGCTGCAAAGAAAAGGTCTGAACCAGGGATGGCAGGCGCAAGAGGCACAGGTGAAGATCCTTTCCGCAGGTTCTGGGGCCCGCAGGCTGGTGACACAAGAGCTTCCTGACAAGCAAATGAAAGCAGCTCTGCTGGCGCCCCAGTTCCGCAGCTGTCCTAACTCTACTGCACACAGATGCCACTTGCTTCCCGCCCAGGCTCTGTCCCCACGACCTGGCTGGTTAATGAATCAGGGCTGAATGTGGAGGCGCGCACGGCGCGACCGATGCCCTGCTCGGAGGGAAGGAACGGTCTAAGGAGCCCCAGCCTGGTGACTGCGCTTTTATTTGCGCCACTCACACATACAGGGCCGTGGCGCGGAGCAGAAGACAGGAGGGCAGCTCTGTGTTGCACGGCTCGGCCGGCGAGACTCGGTGTTGCTAACAGGCGCACTGCACAGGGCAGCCTGGGACTCTGTCAGACATGCGGCGCCGTGCAAAGAGGGCACTGTGAGTGTGAATGACGCACGCCTGGCCCTGAGTCCATGCAGCCGCCAGCCAGGTGGGTCCTCATGGCGGATTCTTTGGGGCATCAGGCTGTGGTTAGGGTTCAGTGCGTCACCTTGCGCTTCCCCGTCGAGGTTTATGGGTACAGCTGTGTTTTCCGAAATGTTTCATTGGTAATACTCAGTCTTATCAGCCTGGTTCCGTAGTAATCTATGATGTAACTACTTCCATCTGAAGGTCCAACGATCTAGGAGAGAGAAATTGTCAAAGGGACTCAATTACAAACAGCTTCACAATACTTTGAGCCTACTTTTTCAGTTTTTAGTATTATTTCAGTAGCTACAGAACTCGGCTCTAAATTAACTGCAAAGAAACCAGGAGAAGTCACGGAGTGGTGCTGCAGGGGATAGGATCTGCCACAACTCACTGCACAGCTCTGCACCCTCACACTCAGACTCCGCCGGGGTCTCAGCTCCCGCTGCTACAGCAGGCTACATCTCAGACCACAGAGGCATCAGAGGCTGGGCCAGCTCCCTGAAGAAGCCACAGCAGGACTGTCCCTTGACAGATAGAAAGGACCGGAGGCAAACGCCCACCCCAAGCATCCTGACCACTGAACCCACGGTGATGTCCCCTGGACGTGACCTTCAGCACCTCCTTTACGGCAGCAAACCTCCAACGCAGTCCACCTGCGTGTGGCCCAGAGTTCCACAGGCAAACTGAGCTACCTGGTTCCAACACCCTGTAAACTGATTTGCCCACGCCGGGCATGGCTGTGCATGCCTGTAGTCCCAGTTACTCAGCAGGCTGGAGCAGGAGGGTCTCAAATCCAAGGCCACCCGGGGTAGCTCAGCAAAATTCTGCCTCAAAATAAGACATAACAAGGACCAGGGTACTTGGAGTAGATAGCCCCTGGGTTCAACCCGAGACCCCAAGACAAAGATGAACGAACAGAAAGCACTCCAAAACCCAACGCCAGCCTGATGCCACCCTAATGCCAAGCTGCCACACCAGCTTGGGCAGCTCCCCCAGCTCAGGGCGCCCAGGCACCCGTGACAGTGCTGAGGCCTCACTTCAGAGCCGCCCCAGCCCAGATACCACAGCACCAAAAAGGAGGAAGCCACAGCCTACCACACCTGGCTCCGCTCAGAAGATACAAGCCCAGGACTGTCCACCTCTTTCTTTGACTCCTACTGTGGTGATGCTGTTCTCATGAGCCACGCCACTGATGGTCACAACCCAAGAGTCACAGGCGAGTTTGAAACATTCAACTAATGCATAAGATGATTAATAGTTTTTCAAGCACAGAGATAAATTATATTAGGATAAAATTCGAGCAGAAATCAAAATTCAAGCAGAAAAGCAAGCAATGTCAAGACTTACAAATGGCTTGTGAAGAACTCGGTCACATCTTTTTAAAATGGATGGTATTTAAAACCCTATGGTATTTAGTCTTCTGATGTAACAGTTTTACCTAAATGTGCCAATATTAGAAATTATATCCTGTGCAACAACTGAAGCTCACGGCAGGAAACAAACGTCAGTGGCTGCAGACATAAATGCTCCCTCGTGGGGTCACATGACTGCTACAAGAGTGCTGCTCGAGCTGCTAGAGCCACACTCGAAACACCACACACCAAAGCTGGGTGCAGCAGGGCACGCTTAGCATCCAGCCCTGCAGGGGTTGAGGCAAGAGGGCCACTCGATCGCAGGGCTTTGAGGCCAAGCTAGACGGCATGGCAAGATGCCTCAAAATAAACAAAACAAAATCCCCAAAGCAACCACTGCATCAACACGGAATTCCTCCAACACTCAGGCGCTGCGCTGGGGTGTGACACGCAGCAGAGATCTCTGTCCACAGGGCGCTGACCAGTGTGAACAGCCTGGCCACGCTTTGGCTTCACCGTCTGCTACACACAGCAGCTCGGGGTTCAGGGCACAGCCCTGCCCAGGGAGGATTCACCAGTCTGTGAAGCCCAAAGGACGGCCCAGTCAGCGAGCTCTACACTCCCCAGTCCTTCTGGTCTCTTCCAAACCCCACAAAATAGAACCAGCCGCCCTCCAGGGACTTCTTGGTTCCGAAGCTTTCACTGACCACGACCTGAACTGAGAGCATCCAGCCGTGGAGGCTGAGGCTCTACTAACGGTGCTCACTTTCCCTGACTGTTCACCAATGAACAAACCCACTCCCCCTGGTTAACTTTAAAGAAAGACATCAGCTATGACAGTTTCAACTATTTAAATGCCCATTCCCTCACCAAAATTTTAAAAACCACATGCTTCATCAATGTGCCAACTGTGAAGTCTCTCATTAAGAGACTGGTATTGTGTTGTTAATCATACAATTAGAAATGTTTGCAAACAGCCACACTGGGAAATGTTTTACTTTGTAAATTTGCCCATGCCCATTTGTATGCTGACAGCAGAGTAAGAAAACTAAGACATGAGTTTATTTCTCTGCTAAGTAATACCCTGGGCTGGGGTGCAAGTCAGGAGCAGAGCTGTAAGCTGGGGCACGGCCCTGTTAATCTCCAGCACCAAAAACAAAAGCAAAAACCCCAATCAAGCAACCAAACAAAACACCATGAAGTCAAATTCTACTTTTTTTTTTTTGGTCTTTTTGAGACAGGGTCTTGCTATACAGTTCGGGCTGGCCTTCAGCTCACTTTGTAGCACAGGCTGGTCTGAATTTGCAACACTCTTCCTGCCTCAGTCTCCTGACTGCTGGGATTACAGCCTCTTGCCACCACGCCCAGATGCCAAATTCTAAAGTACGAAGCCCACCAGGTTTCTGAACCCTGTGGAAGAACACCTGTAGGTGTTCCCCAGTAACCACCTCTGCACACCACGAGCACAGTCTCCACTGCAGAAACCTTGGACCGCAAGAGCAACCTTGTGCGCTTCCATTCGGGCCGGTCTCTGAGGCCTGCACTGCCCACGCTGCCAGGTTCTGCGGGTTTAGACGGCAGAAACACACCACTGTGGAGGCTGAGGTCTGAGGCCAGCACAGCTGTCCCCCCAGGCCCTGCAGAAGGGCACACCTCAGTCCCACCTAGCACCTCACCACAGGCTCAGGGCCAACTGTCACCCATGACTCGGGGGACTGAGGGTCCCCAGGCCACCTGACGACCTCCACCTCCACATCTCGAGGTCCGTAGGTCAATCATGTCCGCAGAGCCCTCTTTGTTCCCATTAAAGTCACATTCCCGGCCCTGCGGCCTGGACGTGGACATCTTCCACCTCCTCTAGGCAGGTTAGAGGTGGGCTGCATAAATGTTACCTGCAGCACAAGGTTTAACCAAACTCAAACTAGGTGTAGCAAGGCTCTTCCATAGGTGCAAAGCAGAATAAACGCAAACAGTCTCAAACACACACAAGACAGCCTCCTGTTTGCTGACCCTCAGCCTGATGCCCAACCTAATTCTCTACAATGGCTCCAGCCTCACCCACCCGGGCAGGTCGAGGACTGGGACAGTTGCCTAGGGTTTAAACCATGATGCCCTCTGAATAAACACCTGTTTGTGGTTTATCTGAAGGGGACAGTAGGATTGTGTTCAGCTCGCAACCCCTCCCACTCAGACATCGCCCAGCAGCACGCATGTGCACACACACACGGGGCAGGTGGGGTGTGAGGTCCAGCGTTGACAAGGCCACATCTCTCCCGAGCTCCACCCACCCCCCTCCACCTCAGAGCCATGTGCCGTCCTCACAGTCAGGGGCAACCCCACGGACACACTGGTGCCAGCAGCTGCTCGGGAAACTGCCCACAGGTGACCCGCACTTCTTTACTGCTGGGCTTCTGGTATTTTTCTCGCAGAAATCACTCTGATATTCTAGACATCAGGTCTTATTGCTGGTATTAGTTTACCTGTCTGTTAACTTAGTCCACTGAATCCTTCTGCAAACAGAGCCATGAAGGTCTCCTCTTTACTGAGCATGTCTGGACACCTGCCTTCAGCTTGGGTAGCCCAGCCTGCGAGAGCCCAGGGTCCCATCCTCAGCACTGTCAAAATCAAAACATTTAACTTTTCCCAGGTATATACCCAACAAACTGAACGAGAACTTAAAACACATCTGCACACAAATGATCACAGTAGCATCATTCGCAATGGCCAGAAGGTAAAATCAACTCAGGTATTCACCAACAGACACTAAAATGTGTACATCGGGTGAAGGAATACTATTCAGCCATAAAAAGGAATGGCACTCTGATACATGCTGCAATGCCCACCAACTCTGAAAATGCAGCAGGCAGACTGGATGGCAAAGGTGAATGCTAATTAACCAACGGGCCAGGAGCTACAATAGGCAGCAGAGCAGGGAGGGGAACGGGTAGCTGACCATGCCTCACCTCCTCGGGTGTGACAAAGTTTTGGAAACAGATGACGGTGAAGGCCGCTGCCCTGAATGCACTGATGCCACTGAAGTGCACACTTGTCAAGGCTCAAACGGCGCCTCTGTGCTGCGGCTCCACACACCGCGGTTCTCACCGCTCAGACTTCAGTGTTGAAGCTGCAGTTTAGGGACTGTCAGCTGTTGCATAAAATGTATGTTTGCTTACACACATTTAGACAGCTGTGGACATGTGGATATGAGATTAAACCCTGGGCCTCTGTACAGGGCTACAGCCCCAACTCTTGTTTTATCCTTTGAGACATGGTCTTGCCAAGTTGCTAAACCGTCCAAGCTGGGTTTGACCTTTCTAGGACCTCCGCCTCTCAGAGTGCTGGGATTACAAATGTGCACCAACATACCCAATTTAAGTAACATTTTATTTGTTTATTTAAAAACAACATATGTAGTTCAGGTTGGCCTTAAATTCACTATGAAGCCCAGGCTGGCCTTGAATGTGTGGCAATCCTCCTGCCTCAGCCTCCCAAGTACTACGATCAAATGCATGTGCTATCACACCCAGCCATAGGTATTTTAATGAAAATAAATGCAATTGTAAAATGTACCTGTAAGTGAGCACTTTATCACCTAAACTTTAGCAACAGATATGACCACTCATTTTAACAGCGGGATATGTTCACTGAAGTCATGTTTCTTAGGTAGCTCGAGTTTTATAAGTTTTTAAAAATGAATGCACTAAGAAACGAAAGCCAGGTGTCATGGCATATGCCCATGACCCCAGCACTTGGGAGGCTGAGGCAGAAGAATCACTATAAATTCAAAGCCATTGGGCTCCCCAGTGAGTTCAAAGTCAGCATGGACTGCAAAGAGACCCTGACTCAAAAAGGAAAAAAAGAAAACATGAGAACACTTTATATAGTTCTATGAACACAGCCTTTTTCTATGTGAAACAGCTGAGTTTGGGATGTATACAAGTGTTAATGCACACAAGACTTCCTCATCTGGTGACAACCTAAAATCCTCAGCACGCTGCAATAGATGATAAACGTGCAGCCCACACCACCTCGTTCCCAGCCAAGTACTTTTCTGCTTCTCAGGAGCGAAGTCCCTGTTTGTGTCCACAGCTGACTCCTCTGCTGGGGTAGTTTAATACGAGGATGCTGAACACGCGAGGAGCCCATGAGCGCCAAGCACCCAAGCCCTAACGATGGTAGAACCCATGACTGCGGCCGGAGCCCCGGCTTCACAGTTGCACACGACCAGCATCAGTGTCACCCTTCGGGAACGAGTCAGTCACCGCATCCCCCTAACACAGTCGCAGCAATGGTCGCAGGACCAGGTTCAGATCCCCTCTTAAAACTCCCCGTGTTCTAAAGAAAAGGCTGCCCTTGGGATGTGTGAGAGTGCACACAGGGCTCTCAACAAAGCACAAGCCACACACACCAACAGTGACTTCTGCTTTCCAGCTGACTTACCCGATACTCACACCAGAGAGAGCAGGGAACAATCTGCTGGACTTTGTGCTCACTGGCAGCCCTTAGCTCTCAGCACAAGTGGCCACTCTGCCCAGCTCTCAGGACTGGTGGGTGCAGGGCTCACAGGTGCAGCCCCTTCTCATGGAACCTACATGATGCAGGCAACCTGCGATGTCCCTGACAAAGACAATGGCAATCCAGGAGGGACCCTTGGCTCTGACCTCAGCCCCAGGGGGAAAGCCTGGGCTCTTCAAAGGTTTAGTAAAACCAAAAGATCACACATGCTAAAGATCAAGCTCCTTTTTCTTTTTTCTTTTTTTTTTAACGCCTACAGTTCCAAAGGAAATTGTTATTTCAGGTAAGTAGCATCTATTATCACATCAGTCATTGGATCATCAGACGAAGCCCTTAGGAAAAACCTCACCCTACACCTAGGCTGGTGCTTGCAGCCCCATTTCAATGGCGGCATAAAACCCACCATGAGTCTCGCATCACCTCACCTCAAGTTCTCCTCGTACCTCTCGAGCAATCCTGTGAAATCCAATCTCGGGCCTGCTGCAGCCTGCCTGAGTCTCTCCCAAGTCCTCCACTGAAGTCTACTCCCCATGCAAATACAGCGGGGGGCAGTCACGTCAGGGGGTGACCCTCATGTCCCTCCTGACACCGAGGACAGGTCACCAAGCTGAGCCTTTGTCTTAGGCTCCCAATCCACAGTCTCCTCCGCTCGCCTCGGCACTGCCTGCCTCATGTTGGCTGTGGGGGGTGCACGGAGACACCAATTCCTCACAAAACTCATGCGTGAGAAACCAAACTTGGTGTGAAAAGCTACAAACCAAACAAACAGAAAAATCAAAGCAGTGCAGAGCCGGTGCCCAAGTGCGCGACATTTTAAACGGCTGGGACATGTTCTACACTGCGACGGACTCACTTAGAACTATGAGCTCCCTGGAGATTCTGTCACTTTTCCAAGTTGGGGCTGCTCATGGAGTTTTAGTCCTTAAAGAAACCCATCTGGCAGTATCAACAGAAATGACAAGAACAATAATTTCTCCAAGATGGTGAGATTTTTAAAAATTTTAACAAAAAAAACCAGCCACAGTTCTCCAAAACACTTTCTGTATCTGCCACACAAAATGGTTTCCCTCTGCTCTGACTCGCCTTTCTGGTCTGTGACTATCTTACTTCTAACAACAGAAAAACCATTACTTTTGTTTGGCAGAGCACGCATCAATGATGTGGGTATCATCTGAAATGTACAAGTTATGTGTGTGAAGAAGTTTAACTGTAGTCAAAGCATTTTACCCTGATAGAAAGCTCTCCTGGGCTGGGCTGAACACCAGACGCACAGCTCCTGTCACGTCTCCTAACCCATCCTGCACACGTCATTGCTGGTCCCACCCTGAGGTCACCCTCAGTGAGGTCCCCATGAGCACTTCCCACACTGGGGTGGCACAGGGCACCCACGTGCCTTGTTGTCTCTTGAGCCAATCAAGAGACAGCACATTCGAGTTGTGTACAGCTGCTGCTGAATGAAAATAGCACGCTGTCTTTCAGTAGATTTATAGAAAAGCAGAACTACTCTCAACACCGGTATGAAGTACAGCAGAGTAAACACATAAACCAGTAAGAGGGCCTTACTAAATGTGATCATTGTTCACATCTTCTGTGCTACACTTTTATGTAAGTGGCAGTGTAAGACGTTCATACCAGCATCACCACAAATATCAGAAAGCACTGCACCAGCCCTCACGACAACCCCGACTCCGTCACAGTCTTGGGGACCACCCTCAATTACAGGGCCCCCTTCGGTTGCCTAAAACGGATGTGCAGTGCATGATGTATGTGAAAGTACACAGACACAAAAGAACCAGCTTCACAGGTCTTCAGAACTGGCTGATAAACACTACCACACAGCAGGTGCGGCGGCGCCACCCACACCCCCAGCTCCTTGGGAGGTTGGGAGGAGGGTCACAAGCATGACACCCAGCTGATCCTGTCCCTGAATACCAAAATGAAAGGGCTGGGGATGGAGACACATGACAGGCCCTGGGCTCCACCCCAGCACACACATGCTCACACAGTCACACGTTCTCACTCACTCACGCCACGAGCTACCTATAGGTGAGAGACTACTACATGTGCCACATGTGCCACTGATTGAGATTTTGGGGTTTTCTCCCTGCGTTCTATTCACTATTTCATCTCACTTATGACTCACAAACAAAATACTTAGCCAGGCATAGCGGTACACGCCTGCAAGCCCTGCATCGTGAAACGCTGAGGCCTAGGGGTCACAAGTCCAAGTCCAGTCTGTGCAACGTACTTAGTGAAACTTTGCCTCATACTGAAAATAGGTCCAGGATGGTGGCTCAACATGGAGCCCCTGGGTTCCAGCCCCCAGCACATCCCCAACGTGTGCGCACACAACAAAATATAGGAACCCCCCCATGTTTATTAAAGCACAAAAACATAAACATAGCAACATACAAAACGTGATTACTTTAGCAAATACGTGCACTACATTTTATATTGTTTTGGTTCAAAAATGAAGCAAAGATTTTTGTTATACACAATATAAAACAAAGACTTCTCTCTTTCCTCCCCCTTTATCGAGCCCAAGTCCAAGGCCTTGTGCGTGGCAGGCACGCATCTACCCCTGAGCTCCACCCTCAGCCCAAGAAAGGCTTTTAGAGGTCCACGTTCCACGCACAGCATTCCTGGGATCACAGTCCCACAGGTAAACCCTGCTAGTTGATGGAGAATATTTAACAGCAAAGTTAAAAGAAAAATAAGACATGAACAAAACATAGTGGGAAAGAAGTATTAAACAAAACAAAATGCAAAACAGCCATTGAAAAACTGGAAAAATACGTTCGCAAAAAATATTAATGTATTTATAGTAAAAAATTTGATTTGCTGAAAAAAATTTTCCTCTCAAACTGATGCAATCAACATTATATGTGCATTACTAGCAAGATGCAGAACAAAGCTACACATCTTATTTACCCGCATCCAAAAGCTGTCCACCAGCCACATCTATTAAAATGTGTGCAGGGAAACTCACTGCAGAAACGCAAGCAGTCTCAACCACTACCTCCATATTTTTTAACAGGACAGATATTCAACTTCAGGAACCCTAGGAGACCTCCCACGGTGAACATACTAAATACACGCGCTCATGGGCCAGACCTACCTGCCATAACTGCACGGAAGGGCCCTCGCATGAAAACACAAACTGAGAAGCGACCTTCGCACATGCTCCAGGTCCCATTTACCTGGAAGGATCCCAGTTCAGTTCCCTGGAGCCTCGCTAAAGCAGGATGCCCTCTCCAGAGCATCTGTGACAGCTCCCGCAGCCTCTTCCTGCCATTCCGTTCGGTCCCGTCACCGGCAAGGGAGAGCAGGGAGGGCTGGGCTGGGCATATGTTTCAGAGCAAACGCAGGGAAATCCCAACTTGAAAACCAAATATTTCCCTTGTTTAATTCTGCCATCTTATTGGTCCATATGCTGCCTCCTCCTCACAGTATGGTCCCAAATCCACGGACTCTGACTTCCTCTCAGTGTGTGACAGTGAGCACAGGCACACACAGGGATGCGAGGGCACTGGCACCACCACTCTCCCTGCAGACAGCAGGGGCCCCGGGCAGGGTGCTGGGTGGGGACACATCTTCTCTAGCTGGGGCCTGCTCAAGAGCTCACCCTACACAGCCCAGCACCACTCAACAGGCAACAGCCATGGCACCCACAAGGCTCAGGATAGCACTCACCAGGTAGGGGCACAGATGAGCAGGTGCCCCTGGCTGTGCATACTGGGCCTGCACCCCTAGACACTACGCAGGCACCCACAGCTTCCCTGCACTCTGTGGCCTAAGCCTGCACCTGACAGAAGGTAGGCACAGGACGCCCCTGTGGGCCCTCGTTCTGTCAGGTGACAGACAGCAGGAACTGGCAGCAGAGTGGGGACTGTGAGAATGAGTGGCACAGAAGGACTCCAGGCCACTCAGAAAGAGACGCCTGGCACTCACTGTGCTCAGCTCCACGACCTCAACCTGGGCTGGTGACATTGTTCTACCTTTCAGGGTCACAACCTGGGAAACGCCAGCTGGAAATGCGGCCACACCCCTCGCTCCTCCCAAGGAGCCTGAAGAAAGTGCTCCTCTTTGCTCCCACAGTCATATATAAAAATACACACACACACACACACACACACACACATACATTAGGAGTAGTTTCCATTCCAGGTTGATGTTAACTTACCTGCATTGAAATAAGAATAAAATCGATTAGGCTCCCAATTCCACAAAATCCTACAGTGCAAAACTTTAATAAACCTAGAAAAGAAAGTAAAGTCACTTATTACTTGGGGTGACCTACAAATATTAACAGATGTCCATGTATATACTATGTCTTTATAGTTAGAATATAAAAGTAATACTTTAAAAAATCCTGTCTTTATCTGAAACTCTAAGGAAAGCTTAAAGGAATCTCCTATAGACAAAAGTCACAAAATAATTGATTTATTTAACAAATGAATTTTTCCACCATTTGGAGGGACATCAGTATAACTTGACAAACCTCCTTCATACAGCCTGGAAATGCACGAGGTCTCCACACCCTGACACCACAGCCAGAGAACACCCTCTCCCCTGAAATCCACATCAATTCATCTATTTAGACTTCATACAGTATGTGATCCAATCTCTGGCTATACACTTACAGTACAAGATACGTAGTGTTGTACTGCACATAATAATAATAATGATCAGGAAGAACTGTGTTCTTGAATTACAAGCTTCTTCTTGAGCAGCCCGGTTGTTGGTGCTCAGCGCCAAGCACCACATGGTCCGCAGTCCCAGCTCCAGAACTCAGACCCCAAGCAGGAGATCACCAGCACTGAAGCCAGGACGGACACAGGACATCATCCCAAAACATGACTGCAGGAGACAACACGAGGGGCGGGCATGAACCCAGGGCCTCCACAGGGCTGTTTCTACTACTTTATCTTTTATTTAGATACAGGGAACTTGCTAAGTCTCTAAATTACCTGGACTGGGCTTGAATGGGGATCTTCCTGCCTCAGTCTCCCAGACTGCAAGATTACACGTTTATGCCACCATACTCGGGTAATTTTTGTTTTTATGTATCAGTTTAGAAATAAATTTAATTTAAAAAGAAAAAGAAATGCTAATTTTGAAATCCTGAAAGGCAAAGAATAGTTATTGCCTTATCTATTTAAATAAAACTACGGATTGTAAAGCCGATTTTTTATAACACTAACAAATAAATAACATAAAAACACAAATACAGCAAAAAAAATCTACTTGGGTATAAAATTTCAAAGTCCACCAGCAGGGCTAGGGCTGAGGTCGAGCGTTGGTGCTGGCCAGACACTGGGAGCCCTGGGCATGCATGAAAAGCACCGCAGGCGCAGTGCCATATCCTCTCGGCCGAGGCTCGCTGCCTGCGTCGCCACTTGAAGAAGGCAGCATGACTCACACCCAGGCTGGTCGGCAAGCGTCTGCGGATGAACACCTGCACTCTGTCCGCTCCTGAAGATCCCTGAATGCGTCCTGCGGTCAGCAGATACCGCCAGTCCAAACAGAATGGAATAAATGACACTCTCAGAGGCAGCTAGGATCTGAGCTTAACAACACACAGCATCCTGTCATTCTCACGCGAAGAAAACATGCATATTTCAAAATGAGTATCACTATGAAAGAATCTTTCAATTAACTGCTCCCAAAACCACTATTATATTTAAGAATTCCGTAATAAGTACACATTTACTAAGGGGTAGAGTTTAGGGTTCCTACCATGCACCACAGGGAAAAAAGGTAGTCTGGAGCACTCCCTGCAGGAGCACCTGAGTTCCGAAAATCCCTTAGCCTTGGGTTCTTAACTAAATTTAATTTAAAACACTGAAAATTTTAAATTCAGGCTTGGTGGCACACACTAGAGAAACTGAGATTCAGGCAGGCAGATCACAAATCAGAGGCCAGCCAGGGAAACATAAGCTGAGTCCAAAGCCAATCTGGATACAACTGTCTCCAAAAAAAAAAAAAAAAAATTAATACTACTTTTGTTTTTAAGGGTGGGGAGTATCTGTTCATTCTGTAGTGCTGGGGATTGAACCCAGGGCTCCTGCGTGCTAAGTAAGTACTCTGCCTCTGAGCTGTACCCCCAGCCTAAAGCTAACTGTTACCAAGTAGGTTTGGTTACTGATAAAACAGACCAAATACTTAGTATTAACGTAGTTTAAACGTAAGAATAAAAATACTGACATGCTTAAAGAGATAGGAGGATTTTTAGGTAAAGATTAAAAAATCAGATGTGTTCATTTTGTGTTTCTACCTCTAGGACCCCACTAAGCATGGAAAAACGACTTTTAAAAGAGTGACAAGGTCAGCCAGGTACAGTGACACGTGCCTGTAATTTCAGCGCTGGGAGGCTGAGGCAAAAGGATGATGAGTTTAGGCGTGGCCTAGTAGATTTAACAACTCGGCAAGACCCTGTCTCAAAATAAAAAATAAAAGGACTGAAGATGTAGCTCAGTACAAATGCCCGGGTTCAATCCCCAGTGCTGCCAAAACAGTTGCTGAATCAGTGGCAGGTAAGACATTAACAAGCCTGGAAAGCAAATGAGTGAAAGTGGTTTCTTTTCTCAATTCAGCAGTCAAAAAAGTTCTTAATAACCACAAGCAGTTGTGATAAGGTAATCAGCTCATTTATTTGTAAAGCAAGCAAGAGCCTTTACAGTGAAGTCAAACGTGAGAAGTTCAATCTGCATACAGATGGACTCAGCCTCACAGTGAAAGGGTGTCTGGCTTACATTGGCAACCGACTGGAGCAGTAGGGACCAGACACAGCGGTCCTGGGGAACCAATGACCCATTCTGTCCGTTACCCAGAGCGCCAGGACCTAACATTTAGTTTTTCTCTTTATTTTTCTTTTTAAAAACAAGTGAACTGAGGGCTTTTATACCACCAAGCAACATTCCCAGCCTTTTTTAGTTTTTTCTTTTTTTAATTAGATAGGGTTTCAGTAAGTAGACGGACTGCCCGGGCTGGGCTTGAACCGGCAGTCCTCCTGCCTCAAGGTGACAACTTGAGTGGACTTGAGTAGGAAATGCCAGCTGATTGGCTTGGCACAGCTCTGAGCATGGCCGAGTGGACCTGGTGAAGATGGAAGACGCCTGCTGGGGCGGGCGGCACCAGCCAATACACATGCAGTCTGAGTGGAATGAAAAGGGGAAGAAGGAAGGCTGCTCTTCTTTCTCTGCCTTCCGTCTCCTGGCTCCAGGTGGGACTCTGCAGTGAGCGCCCGGTCTCCTGCCTGCCTGGGTCCCCTGGCTCTCCAGAGCACTGTCGGCCCTCCTGCACCCTCAAACCCCCAACCGCAGCCTAGCTGGTACACCACATGGATACCATTACATTGAGTCTGTCACTCTGGTAAGCACTGACCCACACACTCAGCCTCCCAGAGCATGGAGACTTGCTTCACATTTACTTTCTGTTTAGTCCACATGCCGTGCAAACTGCATCATTGCCTCTGAGAAAATGTTCGACAAAATAAATTGGTGAGTGCAGCTACAGTGTGGTTTGCAGCTACAGTGTGGTTTGTACTGAGAGACTCCCAGCCTGAGTTTCAGGTCTGACTCTGAGGACCCAGCTCCCCAAGTCCGCAATGCAGCCTCCTCTCCCGACTCTGGTGGGAGAGTTGGATGGGCTCTGCTGCTGGACAGCAGAGCACCAGACCCTCACACTGCCCAGCAAAGGCGGCCGGAGCCAAGGATGGCACTGAAGAAGGCTTCAGATTCAGGAGAGGATCCTGGGGACACGACTCAGGGGCACACTGCGTGGTACAACTCCCGATGCCACTAAAAACGGAAAGTGGCAAAACAGTCAAGTGGCCCTGGGTGAATCACTCATCTCAGGACAGTTCCCATCTCCACGAAACAAAAGTGGTGACCAACACATCACGGGTGACAGCAAGGCCCAAAGGGCTTCAAGAGGCCCTCTTGGCCTCTTGAGGAAGTTTCCCTACCTCTTCGAGGCCTGAGGACAGGGAGCTCAGTCATGAGGCTGAAGCTGGGGAGCCAACTGAAGGGACTGTTTGGGAGGGAAGAGCAGGAAGTGGGCATAGAAAGAGTGAAGCGAGTTATATACATGAGAAATGTCACCATTATGTGTGTACCCGTGCACTAGTAAAAATAAAAATTTTTAAAAAGGAAGTGGTACTTAATAAAAGCTCCAGGCACTATGAGGCATTCTCCCCAGACTGGCGAGGACAGCAAGAGCTCGTCCTGCAACAGCACCTCCATCTAGGGCAGAGGGCAGAGGCTGGCATAGGGAAGCACGCGCGCCTGTGAACGCTCACCTCCTGTCAGGGCCGCAGCCCGCTGCTTTCAACCTATGCCTGCACTGCCAGGCCCCACACTGGACATGTTTTCCTAAAGGAGAACGCGCGACAAGGCAAACGCAGAGCGGGAGGAGGCCAATTGCCCGCTCCAGTGCTGTGGAGCTTGCAGGGCACCATCTGAGATCGCATGCTGAGAAGGCGGCTCACCAGGCCGGCCTGTGCTTTTCTGTTGGTATCTACTCACCCAGGGCAGGGTAGCCAAGGTAAAACCGGTCTGCTCCCAGCCATCCGAGGAATAGGGACAGTGCAACCGCTACTTTGTACGAGTAGCCGTTTCTGTGCAGAAGGAAAACCAAAGTCACATTCACATGTTTCCAGAGTGTGAGTACTTCAGAAAATAACACTGTGAATTACTGTTCTTCATTCACTGCCTCATTCATTCCCTAATGCTCTGTAGGTGGCCACTGTGTGTCAGGCACTTCTTTTAAGCTATTGGGAGATATTAAGGAAGAAACAACAAAGATCCCTATCCCTGAGGAGCTTACGTTTTAATGATAGCAAACCAAACACAAAGCTAATAGAAAAGCAAACTGTATTGTTAGAAAGTCATAACTGTCACAAGAAGAAAAAAAATAAATGAAGTGATGTGGGCATGTGGGGAATACAGAATGCCAGGGTATGTAGGAATTCTAGAATGCCAGGGTTTGTATGGAATCCAGATGCCAGGGTGCATGAGGACTTCAGAATGCCACGGGGAATACATGGAATGGTAAGGGATGAACCTTCGGAGACAGTGACATTGGGGCGAAGACCCAGGGAAGGGAGGTTCCACGCCAGGCCGAACCTCACAGGGCGGAATAGCCCAGACAAAAACAAACCAGCACCCTTCAGACCTGCGGTCTCCACAACCAGGAGCAGGAAAGAGGGAAGAGCACAGGAGGTGGGGTCAGAGGAAGTAGGCCATGAAGGTGGCACTGTCCCTGTGTCCCACTGTAAATACACTGCCTCTTACTCTGAGAAGTGGGAAGCTACTGCAGGGTCTGACACAAAGGTACAACCTAACGTGGTCAACACTGTGAAACAGTCACGCTGGCTACTGTGCTGAGAATTACAGGCCACAAGTGAGCATCTCTCAACTCTGCGACCATAGCAACTACAACTACAAACAACTACCCAGACCCTCCAGGCTTACACCAGTAAGCATGACCCCCACCTGTGTGCAGTGAAGAGCACCTCAGATTTAGGCTGCAGATCTGGGGGTTTCTAGACCTGAAACTCACAGTGGAGGGCCCACGAGAGGCCAGTTCTTTCCAAAGGGGAAGCCAGGCCCCACACCTGGGCTTCTGCTCCTCTGGTGCCTGCTAATATATCTTAGCCTCATTTAGTGCTGTGGCCAAACCCACAATCAATACTGTAGGACTCTACACAGCCTGAGGACAGAGACCTGGTGACAGACACCTTGACGGGACCCACCAAGAGGGAGGAGAGTGAGTTAAGCCAACTTAAAGTGCCCTAGCAACAGACAGTGTGAGAGGTGACCAGACTCCAGACACACAGCACTCTCCAGCACAGCCACCTGGGCTTCCTGATTAGTTTTGTCTTCGCTGTTGGTTTGTCTGTCTCTCTATTTGTGATAGCATCTCACAGATCACTCGAGCTGGCCCTGGACTTGCAGTGATCCTGCCTGGCACACTGAACTTAGGGTACAAAAAAAGAAAGCAGGAAGAGAGGCACTGACGACTTCATCCTCGACACTTGGAAGGATGAGACCCGCATTCATGAGCTGAGAAGGCTGAGAATGCAGGGACAGAAAATCAGGATTTCAATTTTGGGTATGTGAGTCTTCGGAGTTTATCAGACAGTCAAGCAGACTCATCCGGAACAGCTGGATTTAAAATTCTGGAGTTATGGAGCAAAGTCCAGCCTGGAGAACACAGCTGCAGACACTCAGGACAGGGAGAGGACGTGCCGAGGGCCACATGCGTGCCCTGTGAGTACCGGAGTGATCTGAAGAACTGGGCCCTGACACTCACACACACGAAGAGATCCTGGAGCAGAAAAGAAACCCAAAAGGAGACTGCGGCGAGGCAAAGAGTGAAGACAAAAGCAAACAGCAGAGTCAGGTGAAGGTGGCACTGAGGACACATGCTGACCGCGGGTGAGGGCACACAGGAGGCACAAGCTGAGCATTTCCACCACACTGAGAGGGTGGCGCAGTCTGATCACAGGTGAGGCCAGCCTGGGCTACACAGTGCAACCCGGTCCCACAAACCAACCAACCAGCAAAGCAAAGCTAAGCTAAGCAAAGCAAAAAGCATGACTGAGAAGGGGAATGAACCCTGAAAAGCCATCATGTACGGAGGTGAGCCACACTAAGAATAATCCGGAAAGGAGTGGCCTAGGCAGCCACCAAACTAGTTTTGTTTTATTAGACAGGCTTCCGAGCTCCATTTTAGTTGGCTTCACAGTTTGCCTGCGGAATGAAGACAGCAGGGCAGAGCAGGGTGCCTTCCCCAGCCTGGCTTCGAGGCTCTCCTCCAGAGGCTTCCTCTTTGACATCTGTTGGCCGAGCAGCTTTCAAGGGTTCCAGGACGGAGCAGTGCGGGGCTCCCTGAAGACATTCACGTGAGCACAGGCACACATGACACACAGCTCCCTGCAGACACCAGCAGGAAGACAGACGAGGTGCACATCCAAGGTCTCCTCTGTGACGATCTGTTTACCCCAGACATGCAAACACTGTGTGGGTGAGCGACCTGAAATCCTAAGTTTCGGTCATATACTTACACATTCCGGCAAGGTACAACCTTGTAAAAACCAACTTCCTTTCCAGTAAAATGTGTTTCGTTGCCACTAGAATCCTTACATATTATATTGGGTGCCGGGAGACATGGAACTAAAGGCAGAAAAAACAAAGAAGGTGTTAATTTTCCTCCACTAGAAACAGCGTGTAACCACTTTGTCTGAAGATTACCAAGTACACAGGGAAAGACAAAGTCACAGCCAAGTGCTCCCAACACAACACCTCCCCAAGGGGCCAGCGAGGAGAGGCTGCAACACAACACGGCCTCGGACAGAGGACAACTGTGGCCTGCGCCCAGTCCCAGCCTCTGCCACGGACAGAGGTGAGGGAGGGAGAGAGGGCTGCATGACACTGCTGCCCTTGAGCAGATCTCTCGGATCTGCTGCACAGGGAGACCTTGTCTCAAAAAACCAAAGCATCAAAGCCCAGAAACCTTAGGAAGGTACCGATACACAGCAGCACCTGGCATGGCACATTTCAATTTTGGGTATGTGAGTATCTAAGACTGGCATGGCACACTTCCACTGAAGTCCTGATCCCCAGGACCTTGGAATATGCCTCACCTGGACTCGAGATGGTACCATTAGGACAGCATCAACTCAACTACAGACAAGGCTGCTGATACACGAGGGACAGAGTGCTGCCACCGGTCTGGGCCTCGCTGTGCTCTGGCTGCAGCCTCGAGGACACAGAGAGGCCAAGTGGAGATGAAAGTGGAGGCCGGACACTGGGAGTCTGGGATGGCAGGGCCGGCTTCTCCTCAGAGCCTGAGAGGCAGCAAGGGCCCTCGACAGCCTGGTGTCAGACTTCCGGCTCCAGGACCCTAAAACATCACACGTGTTGCCTGAACAACCCTGTGACGGCACATATGTTGCCTGAAGCCACCCATCCCTACTTGCTGGGTTCTTAGGAGAACCTCCCTGTGGACCAGCATGTCAGTCATCAGGTGTGTAAGCCACAGAGACATAGAGCTTAAAAGCTGAAACTCTTGCCTTGATGAGTAACATCCCTTAGTCCACAAAACAGTAACCAGTACACACCTATAATTCTAGCACTTGGAAGGCTGAGGCAGAAAGACTGAGAGCTTAAAGCCAGCTTAGGCTACACAGCAAGACCTTGCCTCAAAAATCCAAAAAAGAAAGAGAGACCTGCAAGAATATCTACAAGCACAGGTTTCCCACAACCGTGGGTGATGGGCATAGCCCAGCAGTGAGTTCAGCCCCATAGCCCCAGCCTGGGTTCAGTGTCCAAATAGAAATTCAACTTTAAAAATTCTCCCATCTTCCAACTACTAAGCAGAGAACAGTGCTGTGATGGTTGATACATCGCGTCAATCTGCAAAGTTTAGAAGTTTAAGATACTCAGCAAGGAGTCAGAATCCTCACTTTGTAAACATCCTTAACCTGTATAAGGGAGGGCACAGAGATTCTGTGAGTGCTACACCCAGCCTAGGGGGCAGAGGGTGATCTGTGTGCAATATAAGGGAAAAGAAGAGCTTGTGCCCTGATTTTCCTCTTGCTGCTTTTGCTGGCTGCTGCCTTGAAATGCTGCCCCTGTGCCCTACCACAGTGCCTTGGAGCCAGCTGATTATGGACTGAAACCTCCACAAAGAGTGAGATAAAGAAACCTTTCCTTCCTTCATTTGAGGTGCCAGGTATTTTGTCCCAGCAATGAGAGAAAAGAAACCAAGACACAGCACGCTACAGATACATCTGGAACATTTTCTCCTCACAAATGCTACCCCATCCACTCAGGCTCAAACTGTCACTCTCCTGTCACACAACCTTGCTAGCTCTTCTTGCAGATAACCAAAAATCACACAGTGACAGTCCCAAAACAAAGCACTGTGATCCCAGCTGCGGGTTATCTGCAACTGTGCCTGTCTACTAGAAATGCCCTGTTTTCAAGAAGACAGCTTTGCACCCAAACTCTTTCTGCTTCTCCCCTTAGAGGAACTGTGCATTCTGGGCAAGCACTCCACCACTGAGCTACACCTCCAACACCCTGTACGATACTTTAAAGACCAAACCTGTGTGGATAGTCATAAAAATGTCTTGAAAAAGTTATTAAAGACTAACAAATCGTGTTTTTCTGTTGTTTTAACTATATTTTAGACTATGTTCAAACTCTCATACTTGAATTTTAGTTTTAATGGCATTCAATCATTTCTACTAGCCACTCTGTACTAACATGAGAGGGGAGAAAGAGGCAGGGAGGGAAACGCCCACTGTTCCAGGCCTAGACCCTCAGGAAAGAGGTCCCAGCGTGCAGTTTTAAAGTCTGCACCATTGGCTGCAAGGGATGAAACATGCACACCCGGAGGAAAAGTTCAGGCTGCCACTGCGAGCAAAGGTGGGGCGAAGTGAGAAACCTGGAAGAGATCTGGTCACACCACAGAGATCCAGGCAGGCCACCACCTGGCTGCAGCTGAGCTCTGCCTGCCTAGGGAGAGGTCCAGGACCCATCTGACTGTGGGTGGTCCAGCTGTTACCGGGGAGGGAGAGCATGTGGTGTGGAGAAGCTGGAGAGAGGAGCCATTTGGAGCCTGCTGTTCCCTCCCTCCAGGTCTACAGGGTTCAACCGCCGAGATCAGAAGCAGGGACCTGAGCCGGGAGGAGTGCAACAGCGAATGGCAGCACAGCTAGCCCAGCCTGTGTGCCGCCGGCAATGCACACACCTGCCTCTTAAGCCCACTCAATGTGATACACGTCATCACGGTTCCACTCACCCCTATAAAACCATGAGGGAGGCAAAACCAGCACTCAGCGTGGCCCAGGCCACAGCCTGGAGTGCAAGCACCCCAGCACACCATCCCAATCTGCAGGAAAACAGGGTGTTCCGTCCCTTCTGGAAGCAGATGAATTTCCAGGGGATTTGATGAGTTGATCAAAGCATCCTAAGCAGGTAACTCTATGTCGTTGGCCAAAACTCATTACTCTTAGTCAATACCCTTGCCTGTTACACACAGTAATTCCACACTAACACTGATAACAGCAAGAAGCAAACATCAATGGCAAGACTAAAGAAGCCAGTAACCGATAAAAGCTAACTGGTATACAAAAGCAAGCAATGGCTACAAGCTTAAAATCCACTCCATTGGCAGTTTGCTTGCAGAAAGTGCATTTCTGGGCAGCACCTGGGCTGGATGACGTCACCCAAACCAGGCAGAAGCTCAAGGAACCTCTGCCTGTGGAAGAGCAGCACGAGGCTGGGCTGGAGCTCAGCGGCAGGCAGCCCTGGCAGGGCTGGGCTGGGCCCCACCACAGCAGCGGCCCACCGAGTGGGACCTCACACAGTGCCCAAGGTGGGCCAGGCGTCCCACACCCAGTACTGGCTGCAGGCTGGAGAGGTGGGGACAATTCCCAGCTTCATGCAGTACCATAGGCCTCCGGTGTTCCAGACAGGAGCTCAGCAGTGAAAGCAGCCAGATTCCTCAGGATTCCATGGTCTCCCTGGAGGCCTGGCTGGACTCCTCCATCAAGGCCACCTACTCCCTAGGGAGCAGATGCCCCACAGGCAGCCATTGGAAGCCACCACACTGTCCTAGATGCCCAGCCCATTCACCACACCCCTTGGCCCTGCCTGCAGGCCAGAACATCAGTACCCTACTGCAGTTCTTCACCTGAGGCCTCATCCGACAGGATCTTTTGCTTTTTTTTTTTAAACAGGCACAGACACACAGAGAAATGCTAACCAGAAATGACTGGTTAAATTTGTGTAATCATGATCCAAAAAGGGTCAGACTGGATATTACCTCTGTACCGAGTTATACTGTACAATGACAAGCTAACTAAACATGCAACCCAGAGTCCAAGTGAAAACAAAACCTGGAAGTAAAATGGGCAAGAACCAATCTCCAGTATTAAAAGACAGATCTCCTAAGGGACTGCTTCTATCAGAAAAACCATGATTCTGCAATCAGAGTAAAGAACCGTTTGGGCCAGAATCACAGATGGATGGATAATAAATCTAGTGGAAATTTTTGTTGAGGAATATGATATTGTATGGTCTTTAATAAGCCTCCCATGAACTATTTATTTGTTGCAAAGAAAATTCAACTCGGTAGCGCATATACTGAAATTGGGAAACTGAACTACACAATAGAAAAATCAGAGCGTTCAGCAATGTCCATTCCCACTGAGGGACAGACACCCCATGTCCCCAGATGAGAGATGCTGAGGCTACCCCAGACTCCACGTAACCTTCCATCCTGCAGTGCTGTTCCCACTGGCACCTATAGTCCCCTCAAAGCCTTGTGCAGTCTTAAGAGGGCTTTCCAGAGACGGCTGGATCTACATGTAATGCTGGCATTAATGGTGTCCTACTAGGTGCGAGTGGGTGTCATGGAATAAAGGGACAGAAAGCAGGCTGGTGACTGTCACTTGCTGCTTTGCTGCCTTTTTTTTTTTTTTTTTTGGTCTTTTTGAGACAGGGTCTCTCACTATGCAGTTCAGGCTGGCCTTGGGCTCACTTTGTAGGCCAGGCTGGTCTCAAACTTGCTACAAACTGTCTGCCTCAGCCTCCCAAGCGCTGGGATTACAGGAGTGTGCCACCATGCCCAGCTAAAATTTATTTTATGTCTTTTTTTTTTTTTTTTTTTTTTGCTCCCCAGTGCCAGGAATTGAACTCGAAACCTTGCGCTTGCCAAGCAGGTGCTTATGCTGCCAAGCTTTTGTTGCCTTTTGCCATGAGCTCTTTCCCCTCCGCAGTGACCTGACAAGCCACCCTACCTTGTAGCCAGCTAAATAAACCTTTCCTCCATTAACTGTGGGTGCTAGGCATTGTGTTTCAGCGATGAGAAAACTAAGACAAGTAAATAACCTCAGTCTAACCATAAAAAATACCAGACAATCCCAAAGAAGGAACCTTACTTAATAAAATAAAAGGGATGTCAAATATGCCAGTATCACAATAGAGAAAGTCATGGAAATGTTCCGATAAAAGAAAACCAAATGCAAAACTGATTTCTAAAGATCCTGTCCTAAAATGAAGGAAAATGCTACAAAGGCTTTTGAGTAATTTTATGAAATCAGAATGTCTACCGAAGTATATAGCTATCTACATCATGAAACGTACTGACATTTATAACTGACCTGTGTTTATGTTAAGATCTCTTAAGAAAAACACGAGTAGGGGCAAGTAACTGGGGAGAGAAGGAGGAAGGAGGAGAGCAAAAGAGGTGGGGGAAGGCCAAGTGCAAGCAAGCTCACGCCAACACCTGACGGGAAGCCACACCAGGCTTCCTTCTGGGTACGGGTGGAAGGGTATACCCCATGGTACTCTTCTGCTCAAAACTGTCCTGAAGTGTAAAATTATCTCCAGATAAAGTGAGAAAGCTAATTCATGCCTTTAGAAGCTGGTCAGGAGGCTGTCATGGCCTTCCTCATGATGGGCTGCCATATCCTCCAGGACACTGTCATCCTGCCTTTTCCTTAGTTGGCCAAGCTTGCTCTGCAGAGCCACTTCCTCAAGTTTTCACCTGAATTTTTTCAAGTAAACTGTGCTACCAGAAAACTTTAGAAAAGCTGGATAGGAAAATGGTTAACATTGAAGAGGGGTAGTAACCATGAGAGGGTCAGGGGATCTGGCAAGTTGTTTTCTTTTTAATTGATAGAAGCTTAATGCATAATTGCCAAAACCTGTAAGCCATCAAAAAGTCTTTCAACAGATGAATGGATGAACAAACCGTGATACATGTGTAATGGAATGTTACTCCATGGTAAAAATCCATGAGCTCTCACACCACAAAAAGATCTGTTTAAGGACAGCTTTTACTTACAAAGAGAAACAATGATATCAGCTTCCCTAACTTACTAAGATATTTTTACAAGTCGGCATAGGGCTGAGAGTGTAGCTCAGTGGTAGGGCTTGCCCAGTATGCATACGGCCCTGGCTTCAAGCCCCAGGACCACAAAAAACAACTCAGTGCCCTCAAAATAGTACCATTTCATTGCCATCAAATCAGAACTCTAAATAGCTTCAACCTCCATCTGTGTGGATCCTACTCCCTGCTATCCGCACCCCTTTGAGGGAAAAGACCAAAGAGGGAGCAGTCTGCTCAGTGTTACCCGCAGTGCTCATAACTAAGTTGCCCAAGTCCTCGGTCTGAAGGGGATGTTTCCCTAACACCTGCACCGCGGGACACCCTCACTGCTGCTTCCATCCTTCAGACATGTTACAAGCATAAAACATGGGCCGTACAGTTTCTCATTGTACTTCATTGAACTATGAGTCTCTTGCAAGTTCCTGTTCAGCAAACTAAAGAATTATCTTTCCATAATATATCCTGAGAAATAAAATGTTATGCTTGAAGGATTTTTTTTGTTGTTTTGGGGGGGTTTGGTAGTGAGACCCTATGTAGTACAGGCTGGCCGTGAACCTGCTTATGCAACCCATTCCTCCTGCATCAGCCTCCTGAATGCTGTGATTAAAGGTGTACACTACCAGCCAGGCTGTCCTTGAGATTTGTGTTTTATATACCAGTTAAAAAAAATTTGGCTGGGTGTAGTGGTACACTTCTATAATCCCAGCATTCCAGAAGGCTGAGACAGGACAAACAAACGTTCAAGCACAGGCTGGCAGTTTAGCAATTTGCAAGATCCTGTCTCAAAAAACAAAAGTAATTTAAAAGAGTTGAGTTGGGGTTATAGCATCACAGGAAGGCTCTGGGTATAAGCCTCTGTATTGCAACAAAGAAAAAGAAGCCTCAAGAAACAGATAAAAGAATATAAACTGATCAAAGGTTTGAAATTAAAAATGAAAATATAATAAAATTGTCAGTTTATATTAAGAAAGCAAGATTCTCTTGCTACTTAAATATTGTAGCTCAGTGGTAGAGTACATGCTGAACTTGCATTGCAGGGAAACAAAGAAATTAATCAATTAATTAAATATCAACAAGTACTAGCCAGCTCTCTAAATTTACATTGCTCTGAAAACTGAGTTACATGTAACCTAAGAAAAAACACATTCATTATCTTTAATGGTGATATACCAATCCACGAAATATAGTAATTTGTTTTAAAAATAAGTGTTAAAGATATTATTCTGGAAGTCTTACCATGAGCTGTGTAGTTTGTGCAGTTAACTGGTTCTTGTGTAGCATCATTTATTTTTGGATCTTTACAAATATATGTTAAAAAGTTAAGGAAACACCAACTCATTCCCAGCATAAAACATTATTATGTCTTTAATAGCAAATATATTCATATTGAAAAGCTGGTAATGAATAAGTCAACAAGCACAGGTACAAAAAGATTTTTAGCACTGCTAAATAATTCCTGAAAATTAACTTAATATGGGAAAGGTGAAGACTAAATTATATATGTATTTTTTTGTTTTGGGGGCTTTTGTCTTGTTTGGAAGCAGTTTCCCTCTACATGTAGTCAAGGCTGGCCTTGAACTCTTGGCAATCTTCCTGCCTCAGCCACCAGAGTGCTGGGATTAGAGATGTCCACCACCACGCCTGGCTGGAGACTATATTATTAAAAGGTTAGCAGAGGAGCTGTCTTTAAAAGACATCAGTCAGGACATAAGTGCTAAGCAATATTAAAGTAAGTTATTACCAATTATGAGGGCTTCAGGTTAAAATCAATTCTGCTCTCAGAGATCTGACAGAAAGGTTTGGGGTAGTGTGGAGGACCAATGGACAACTCTCCTTGGCCCTATGTCCATCTACTGGTATGTACAGAGCTAGCTAGGCCATCTCCCTTTCCCCTCAACTGCCTCTAAGCAATACAAATCTGGATGGCTGAGGTGCTCCTGCTATTCTTTGAAACTAGGCGATAGTGTTACCCAAGGATTCCCAAAAACACTGTGGAGCTGGGGCTCCAGGGCAGCCTAGAGATAAAAGGCTCTGACTGCCCAGGGCAGAGAAGTTCGCACAGAAAGCTGAAGCACCACCCCCAAAACATTAAATGCATTCGTGTTATGCAGATTAAGTCTTTCTGCATTTCCTTCTTTCCATATTCACAGTACTCAGGAATTTCCCACCATTCTCACAGTCACTTATCCTCAAGTCACTTCCTCACAGATTAATAAAATCTGGGCCTGGGCTCTGGGTTGAGGCCTTTGTTCCAATGAACCTTATCTTGGTTGAATTTAGGACTCCTTGGCTCCCCATAACTATAAATGCCTAGTGTCTTGATTCTCATTGTGGGATGCACACTGGAAGTGGTAGACTGGAATTAATTTATTGGAATTCCAGTAACTTTCCATGGGATTACAAATACAAACTTCGCAGACTGCAAGGAGGTTGGGGAAGGGCTCTCTATAGGTGGACCTATTATGCCCACACACAGCAGCACAGCCTTAAGGCTCAAGATTACCCCTAATACTCTAGACACAACCTGATCCCGTTCAGGGTTTCTGAATCCTTCTCAGAAACTTGAGTCAGAAATAATGTATCTTGTCCAGCTGTCCTCACCTCACACCCTGCACATTCCACCACTTCTCTCCAAGTTTCCACTCTTCACACTGCCCAATTATGTTCTTAGAATCATCTCCCTACTTTTCTAAGAGGAGTGGACCTAGACTGATTTTTTTTTTTTTTTTAATCGGTACTGGGGATCGAACTCACGACTGCTTGCTTGCAAGGCAGGTACTTATGCCGCTGAGCTAAATCCCCAGCCCCTAGACTGATTCTTAGATCCCAAGCATCACTGAAACAGGCAAAGCTGGCTGGGGCAGTGGGTGGCACCTCTCCACTGCAAGAGCCCAGGGCTACTGGACGCCTATGCAGGTAGCCAGCATAAAGAAAAGCAGACTCCACTAGGAGCCACAGGCTCACTCCCCATGGATTCAAGAGCCAGGGTGTACTTTAGTTCTTCCTCTTTTCATCAGTTGTTCGGTCCTCCAAGTTCCCACTGCAGAGGCAGCTTTTGCCTCGCTCTTCAGTTTTTGCATAAACTTTTGGCACCGTTTTTGGCTTGTCTAGTCCAATTCTTTGTTGGAGGCAAGAAGGACCTGACATATTTTTCACTGGCGAGCCATTTTTAAAGGAATTACTCGATTACATCACGGTATGGAACAAGTTGGAGCCACAATGTGAAAACTGAATATTGGCTAACGCTGCCCAAATGTCAAAAACGAGACAGAATTTTCTTAATTTTTCCTTCACAGACTTGTTCTTGTACAGGCTGAGTATCCCTTAGTGAGTCACTGCTCAAGAAGTTTAATTATTGCTTCTCGGCCTTTTGGCTAAGATCAAATGTAAAAAGTTTAGATTTGGGGGCACTGAAGATCTCAGGGTTCAAGCTAATGATGTTCAAGCAGTGTCTCTAGCTCATTATTTTTGTTTGAAAGCCTGAGTGATGGGGCTGGGGATTTAGCTCAGCGGCATATGCGCCTTCCTTGCAAGCAGACAGTGTCGTGAGTTCGATCCCTGGTACTGAGAAAGACAAAAAAAGAAAGCCTGAGTGAGGCAGTCCCAGCTTTGTACAACAGCAGCTATCTCCCTTCAGCTCTGTGCACCAACGCTCAGTGGTTGGCTTCGGTCACCTAAGGCTCGCGCTGTCCCCTGCCGGGCGGGGTTCGAAGTGGGCCGCTCCGGGGAAACCAGTCCTTGGGGACCCGGTCGAAGACAGGCGACTACGCGGAGCTCGGAGCCTCGGTGACCCCTGCGGTCTCCTGCCAGGGCCACTTCCGGGCGCCAGCTCCGATGCTGCCCGCCCCTCATCCCCCTGCCGTCCCTGCCCCGTCCCCCGCGTCCCTTTTCTCGCGCGAGGGCCGCTCTCCAAGGATATTGCCCCATGCGGAGGTCCTCGCACCTCGGCGTCTCCTCGGCCCCGGCCGCGGCGCTGGCAGCCACCCCCCAGGGGCCTGAGGCGACAGCCGCAAGCCAGAGGACGCCAAAGAGCTGCGCGGCCACACAGTCCAGAGACATGGGCCGCGAGGCCCTGGCCGCCGCCATGTTAGCACCGGCGCCCCGCGCGCTTCCGCTTCCGGTCACGCCCCCGAGGGCCGACGGGAGAGAGGGCGGGGCGGGAGGAGGTGCTTAAAGGGCCCGCGCTACTGGTGGTCTCCAGCCTGCGAGCTCCTTCTACGGTGCCAGAAAAGAATTGGAGTTACAAGCGCTTCTAGGCACCGCCTGGGCAGGTTGGGCGTGAGCTCCGTCTCACCCCGAGCTGGGCACCTTGGCGTCCCTGCCCTAAAGGGCCCGCGGTGCTGCCCTCGGTGCTCGGCTCAGTGTTGGGCTCGCACGGACCCAGGTCCCGCCGCCAGACAGCTTGCCAGGCCTCAGGATCTGTGTTTCCTGATCACCCTCCCCCGGGGCGCCTAGGAAGAAGGCGGGGAGCAGGGCCTCTGCCTCTGCTACCGCTCTGAATCCTGGTGGTGGGAATGCTTATTTGCTGTACTGGAGATAGAACCAAGTTCTTTGCACCGATCAGTACCTGCAGCCCTCTTTCTTAATTTTTTATTTCGAGACAAGGTCTCACCAAGTGTGAGTTGCCCAGACTGATCTCAAACTTAAGATCTTCCTGCTCCAGCCTCCCAGAGCGCTTTCGGTTTATTTTGCTGTTTTTAATTTAAAACATTTATGTGTAATTACTTCATGCTTTAGGTCAGGTTTAAATGGTAGGAAATTTGAAATGTACAGTACTAGTTTAGTTTTAAATCTCCTAAATGCACTTCTTCATTCTCTTTTCCTTCTTTTCCCTTTCCTTCTTTCCCTTTCTCCCTTCTTTTTTCTTCCGCTTTGAAAACATAGGGTTTGAGCGTTTATTATGTGCCCAGCATTAGGCTACAGTGCTAGGCCCTAGAGAATGAAATGAGGATTCAAGAATTAAGCGGTTAGGGCCTGGGCTTTAGCTCAGAGGCATAAATGCCTGCCCAGCAAGCAGGCAAGGTTTGTGAGTTTGATCCCCGGTACCAAAAAAAAAAAAAAAAAAACGCTTCGGTGGAGTAAGAAAAAAAACAGTACTATTTGATATGTGTTACAACAGAAATACCTACTAGTTAAGATAGTTTGACAAAAAAAAAAAAAGATAGTTTGACATGTTTTGTTTTGAAATAAGTGCTTGCTGTGTTTCCCAGCCTGGCCTCAAACTCCTGGGCTCAAATTTTTCTCCTGCCTCAGCCTCTCCAGCCGTTGGGACTATTGGAATATTAGCAAAACCTTTGGCTTGTTAAGAACTTGTTCTAATACAGAGCTCGACCTCCCGCTAGGGCATGGGCTTTGACACAAATACTCCCCAAACAGTACTTGGGACCATGTGCCTGGTGTACAGCCAGCGCGGCCCCATGGCCTCATCCCAAAATGAGATTTAGGAAAGGTTATCAATGGAGGAGTCAGTCAAATTCAAGTCAAAGATCCAAGTATCTGTTACACTTTCTATCTTGTGGTAACTGACAGCAACTTTGCAGTTTTTTCTATTTTGACTTTCAGAATGTTCCAATTTGATTTTTTTTAATTTTGAGGGGGTTTGGGGTTTTTTGTGGTTTTTTTTTGGGGGGGGGTGCTGGTACCAGGAATTGAACTCATGACCTTGCACTTGCCAATCCAATGTGATTTTTAAAATATAACTCATTTTGCACTTCTGGTTTCCTGAAACTAGGACCGAATCATGTTTCCCCACTGACCACAAGGGTATTGCTGATCTTCGTATTTGTGTCCATATGCATGAGGATTTTGAACAATCTACTTTGAAAATGCTTATGCTGTGCTGATTAATCCCATTATAAAATCTATTTTTATAATTTAATGATTACCACTGCTCTCTCCCTATGATTAAAAAGAATGAAAAGTGAAAGTAAAAGAGAAATAACGTTGGCTCTTGTACTCCCGCTGTGCTGAACAGTGCACTGTCCGGACCCTGACCTTTCCCTGCTGAGCCTGTGCTTGCACGCCGGGTGTCCTGCGCCCGCTGCCCACAGCGATTCCTGCTTTATGCTTTGTGAGCGCCTGCCTCCCAGCGTGTCCAACGCCCAATTCCTCACATAGAAATGTTTATAGGGATTCTGTGGCGTTCTTAGGAAGGCACAGCTCATGAACAGCACTGTCCAGCATGGTGAAGGAGCAAAAACACAGGAAAGGCTGACCTGAGCATGAGCAAAAGACCTCAGAGTGTGAGGGCCCTGCCTTGGCCTTGGTGCCTTTCATCCCTCAGGTTTTGTAGACACCTGATTGCCCTAATAAGGTGGCTCTACTTAGTGACACCTTCCACAGAGACCAGCCTGACTCCAGTGTCTGAAACGTGATGATATGAAACACGGATACTTTACCTGGTGTGGAGATCAACCTGGGCACCAGAGTGAGTTCAAGACTCTGTCTCATATAAAACATTTACCCTGAAGCCTTTTGGGTTGGACTAGATGGGATTCCCCACCCCATGACAAATCCGTGATTGCAGAGTTCTGCTAGGTCTTGGCTCCACCCTTCTGCAGGACTTCTGGACCTGGGCTGTGACCACCTGTCCTGTGGTGCTGCAGTACACCACTCACCACCTGCCAGGCCTCCTCCGGGTGCCCAGCTATAGTGTGACAGAGTCCCGCCCCTCGCAAACAGCAAAGTCAAAACAAATCGGCCTTCTCAATTTAGCCACCAGGGTTTTTCCCTTCAGGCTCAAACCCACAGTCACTTTTATCCTTCAGTTTTCAATTTGTTCTTTCTTGGCACCTTGATTTCATCAGTAAGCAGCTGAGGTGTTAACATTTGTGCTGCGTGCCCGTGTTCCACGAGGTTCCCAGCGTCCCGGACCTGCCGTGTGCTGCCCTGCAGTGACCGCTCCATGCCCTCTCCCTCCTTGCATCCACTCCATGTTTGTAAGCAGTTTCCAGATGAGCACTGACTTCACATTTGTTTATTGATTTGTTTGGTTTCTTTGAGATAGGATCGCACTCTGCCGACTGGGTCAGGCTGCCAACCGAGGATCCTCCTCCCTCATCCCCGAATTCTGTGTTTGCTGCAATGCAGGCTTCAAAGCACAAGTTCTTGAAGATTAAGTTTATCTTCTGCATGTTATGGAAAAGACAGTCGTGAAGATTCCCAGGAGACATCTGGAACAGAAATAAGTTCCTTTGAACATGTATCAAAACATTGAAAAATTTTTGAATTTTAAAAATGTTATTAGTACTTGTTTGCAGCACATAATTACATTCCTCATGGGTAGAACTATTTTTAGCTCCAAGTACAGGCTAGGGAAACCTCCCATTAAATTGGAGAGATGGTGGAGAGATCAGTTAGAGCCCGCTCCTCCGGGGAAGTAGCCTCGGGCCAGGCCAAGGGGCGGATCCGTGCATTCCAGGCAGGGAGGGACTGCTGATAACTATGGAATGGCCATTCCAGGGACACAGTGCTGGACTCTGGCCTCTGGAGGAGGACAAGGAGGATGTGTGAATGTGAACCTAGGAAGGAATTTTAACCCTGCTCCAGGCTCAGTTCAGAGGCTCTGGCTGAAAGGGAGGAATGCAAGAAGCGTGATCCCAGCACCAGGGAGGCTGAGACAGGAGAACTCCAGAAGTTCGATGCCAGCCCAGCTAATAGTGAGACCTGTCTGAAAAAACAGAAACAAAATCAATATTCAAGTGAAAGCTCCCCAGTGGTGTGGGTGGTGCCTTGTGGCCCTTAGGCTTCAACTTCTGTACAGCTGTCCCTAATTTGGGAAGTATCCCCTTCCCCATTTCACCTGAGTGATCGTAAAATACCCAGTCCAGGCCCAGTGAAGGCCAAATCAACACTTCCAGCCAACAGGACAGGATCTCATTTTGATGTCTGAGTAATATTCCCCCAAGCATTAAATGTTTATATATATCACAGGGGTTTTTTTGTCTTTGTTTCCTTCTTGTGGTCCTGGGGATAGAATCTGGGCATGGTTCTACCCCTGCGCTATATCCCAAGGCCTCTTGTTTTTATTTTGAGGCAAGGCTTCCCAGAGTAAGCCAGGCTGGCCTCCATCTGGCCACCCTCCTGCCTCAGCTTCCCAAGAAGCTGGTACTGCAGGCCTGTGCTGCTGCTCGGCCACACACTGCCCACGATTTCCTTGTCCTGTGTCTGGTGGACAGGACAGGCTCTGCCATGCATCCTGGATAGCGTGAACAATGCTGCAGAAACCCTCAGGGTGCTCAGGGCTTTGTGACGAGCTGAGTTCCGTTCTTTCGGAGTCTGACAGCGGGGTTTAGTTGTTCCACAGAGGCCGGTATTCTCCTCTTTGGATTGTGATTGCTGTGCCAGGCTGAGGGGCCGCTTGCACAGGCTGGGAGCCATGGTGCAGAGCCCTTGGTCACTCCTGGCCATCTGTCTAGTCTCTTTTGGGAACGTCCTTTGAATCATTTGTTGATCTTTCAGATGACCATGGTTGTTCTACTGTGAGCTTCTGAATTCCTGTTTATTCTCCACATTGGACAAGTTCTTCACAAGTGTTTTCCCCCCTTTACTCTGGTGATTATTTCTTTCACCGTGGGTTTTTTGGTTTTTTTGTACCAAGGATTGAACTCATGACCTTGTGCTTGCCAGGCAGGGGCTTACACCACTAAGCTAAATCCCCAGCTTGGGTTTTTTTGTATTTGATTTTGATTTTCTGAGACAGGGTCTCACTGTGTAGCCAGACTGGCCTTAAACTCATGGCAAGCCTCCTGCCTCAGCCTCCCCAGTGCTGGGTTTACCACCATGCCTGGCGAGGCTTTACATTTATATCTTAGCTCCTTTTGCATTGGTTTCTGTCCGTGCTGAGAGGTAGGGCTCAGTTTCATTCTTTTACAGAGGATATTCTGTCTGCCCTGCACCATTTACTGAAAACAGTGTCTGCTTTCGTAAATTTTATTTTTAGGAGTCCCTGTTTCCAACATAGGATTCTCAGGTTCAGTGTGGGGAGCTGGTGCGTGGAAAATGCACACCTCCTGTCTGTCTCATGTCCCCTCACGTTCTGGTGAGTTTCAGGTTCCATTGCTGCACATGGGCTGGCTGCACATTTGGGTTTTGTTCTGCCCACCGTGCTGGTTTTACGCTGGTGCACACTGGCTCTTTTGGGACCCTTGGCTTTGTAGTATGTTTTGCACTTGGGATCCTCTTTTTTTGCTCAAAGCGCTCTGCTGCTTGGGGTCTTTTCTGAGTCCATATGGATTTTAAGGGTTGTTTTTCTGTCTCTATAAAGAATGCCTTGTGTGGTTCAGTGGTGATTGCTTTGAATCCATCAATGGCTTTGGGCAGTGTGGACATTTTAACAATGTCAGTCCTTCTACTCTGGGAACACTGAGTGTCCTTCCGCCTCTGTGTTTCCGTGTGTGTGTGTGTGTGTGTGTGTGTGTGTGTGTGTCTGTGCGCGCGTGTGTGTGTCTGTGTGTGTTTGTATATCTGTGTGTCTGTGTGTGTGTCTTTGTGTCTGTGTGTGTGTGTGTCTGTGTCTCTATTTCTTTCATCAGTGTTTTGCAATTTTCTGCACAGAGGTCCTCTCTTCTAGGGTTGAGTTTATCTGAGGTCTTTGTCTCTCCTGTCTTTGTTCTCTGAGCTGTGGTGAATAGGATCCTCTTCTTGATGTCTTTCTCAGCCTGGTCATTACTGAGCATAAAAAGGCTCCTGATGCTGGGCCTCACCCACTGTGCTGCCTGACTGCGGTGGAGTGGATGCCCTGGTCTCTGCAGTTAGTGGAGCACTGCCCGCCTCCTCGTGTGTCCTTGCAGCGCTGCTTCCTGAAGCTATGGGACGCCTGCTGGCCCAGTGTCCTCATGCTGAGCAGTTGGGAGTCCCCCTCCTGCTGAACACACACCTTTCCAAGTCATCAGGGAACCTGCCTGTGAATCAGATGCCAGTGACTGAGTTTCTTTTTCACCATTGGTTCTTGAAGTAAAATGCCCAGAGTGGAAGTCCAAGGCTGATGACACCCCAGAGGCTGAAGGAGGCCTCCCCAGCTGGTGTCAGAAGTCAGGCTGTGAGTCAGGAGGGAGTAGGGCTGTGTGGGGTGGGGTGGGGCTGGAGGTGGGGGTGTGGCTGTCAGGTTTGGGTCCTGGTCCAGGGATTCCCTGAGGGATCAGGTGAGGTAAGGTTCCTGAGGAGGACTCGGGAGCCAGTTTTCTGGTTAAATAGGAGAGAGAATGGGGCAGACACACCCATTCACCTCCGGCCCACCTGCTCACCCATTCACCAATCCATCCACCCACCCACGAATCCAACCCCCATCCACCCATCATCCATCTACACACCCACCCATCCACACACTCATCTACCCACCCATCCGTCCACCCACCCGTTCACGTATCCACCCATCCTCCCACCCATCCACACGCTGCAGTCCGGGGCCCAGGGCTCTGCTCTGCAATCTATCCTTGGTCTGCAGATGCGGAGGATAGAGGAGCAGGGCAGGAGGGAGCCCACCGGGTCATCGCTCGCGCCCTGCCCCGCTGCCCTCGCCCCAACCTCCTCCCAAAGGCCCCATCTTGTCCCCTTCTCAGTCCCCATTCGCAGACCCCCATGCCGGGTTCCCCGTGCTCCTCGGTTCCTCCCTGTCTCCCCACCCCTGCTCCCGGTCCCCGCCCCTCCCCTCCCCTCCCTGTCCCCGCTCCTCCCCTCCCCTCCCTGTCCCCGCCCCTCTCTGTCCCCGCCCCTCCCCGTGGGAGGTGCAGGTGGCCCCGCCCACTTCCGTCCAGGTGAGCCACCCGAGTCTGCGTGGCGGCCGACAGGTAAGGGCGGGGGCCCGGGGACCCCAGACCCGAGCGACCCCGCGCCCCGCCCCGCGGCCCCGCGGGCCTCCGGCCTGCACTCTCCTGCCTCGGCGGCCTTGTCCGGGCGGCGGGGCCACGGCCCGAGGCCTGGTTCCGGGGCATCGCTGAGCTGGGCCGCGGCGGGGTTGGGGTAGGGACCGGGACGCAGGACACGGCCCAGCCCACCGCGGGTCAGGCCTTCGCACCGCGGACCCGCCCGCCACTTGCAGGGCACAGCCCACCTCACCCGCGACCGCGACTGCGGCCACCCGGGTCCCAGGCCCACCCGGGGCGGGCGACCCAGCGGCGAGGCGGCGCGGGGTCCCGGCAGGTCCTGGTCGAGGCCCCGCGGTGCGGTTCTGGTTCTGGTTCCCTGCCCGGCCTCGCCGGGAGCTTGGCAGGCTTGGGGACCTTGCTGTGTGAGATGAGTTCCCCAGACGCCAGTGGGATTTTCGGCAAGAATCCTGGCGTGAGCCGGGAAGAAGTTGGGTCCTGGCCTGGTCCCGGGCCTCAGTGGGCTGCGATCCTGCTGTCCTTCCCGGCGAATCCACAGAGCCGTGCGGGGCCCCAAATGCCACCCCCAGAGTGGGTGAGTCAGGCAGAAGTTTTGAGCAGAGCTGAAGCCCCCAGAGGCACACTGCTGACTGTACAGGGCATTTTCTTTCAGTTTGTGTTTTAGAGGTTTGCAAAAGGGAAAGTGTTAGTGGATTTTCTTTTTTTTTTTTTTTTTTTGAGTCAGGGTTTCACCATGTGTGATGTAGGCTGGTCTCACCTCACACTCAGCAATCCTGCCTCAGCCTCCCGAGTGCTGGGATTACAGGCATGTGGGATTACAGCGTGTCATTATGCTTTCTTACAGTGAATTCACCTGGAAAACTTTGCACTGTTGAGACAGTGGTTTACTATCCCCGACCTTTACACCTGCCTTGTGGGCCTTTTTACACCTGCACTGTAGCCCTTTTCCCCCACTCTTGGTTGGTCCTGGGTTTCCTGGGCTGGCCCCAGTTTATCTTCCTGCCTCAGCCTCCCCAGGGCTGATGTTATGGCCAGAGGCTCACACCTGGCTCCACAGCTCCGCAGCTGTAAATCATGCAGCCCACGTTCTCACTTAGTTAAAGTTTAAAGAACAGGAAAGCACGGGAGGTGAGGACAGGGCAGCTCCGCATCAAGGCCTCCCTTGCCTTGGTCACAGAGCCAGGCTTTCTTTGGCATAAACGCGACTGTCCTGTGTCTTATTTGGGGTTTTTGTGTAGGTTTTGGGTCGCTTTTAAAGCCCCTATTTTATGTGCTGGAGCAGGTAGTGGGAACTTCAGTAGCTGTGGATGCTCCTCCTTTTGTTTGTCTATTTTGAAGGGCTGGGATCCCACCCGTTCCACCTGCGCTGCACCCCAGCCAGAGCCCTGTGAAGCACTGGAGGGGCCCTCATGGCTCTGATAGGCCCTCTGGTTCTGCTCTCCGTCCTGCCGGCTGCAGTGCCTGTCTTGAGGTTGTCTGATCTGTGTGCCCCAGAAGCTCTCCCCACCTGGAGGCTGGTTCTGGGGGCCCTGGGGTGACGTGGGGGTCAGGGCCTGCCTCACTTGCAGCCACTTTGACAAGCAGAAGTGTTTTCTGGAGACGCCCTTCAGGGTCTTTCTGAAAAGTCCAGCTAGGCCCCGTCACACAGTGAGCCTTTGGCAGGTGAGGTGCTGGGCTTTTTAACATGGGAGTGAGCATGCAGCTAGTTGGGGTGAGACACTGTGTGACTGTAAAACACACTGGATTTTCAGGCAGTTTAAAATACCTTATTTACCTGGGTGTGGTGGCGCACACCTGTGTCCTAGACTCGGGAGGTTGAGGCGGAGGATCCACAGGAAATAGGCCAGACTGAACTATATAGCAAGACCCTGTGTCTAAAAACAAAAAATAAAAACATGAAAGACCTTAGTACTGTGACAGTGAAGCATAATTTGTATATATTGGATTAATTGAAATGGCATCATAGTTAATCGGGGACTGCTGGGATAGCCCTGTGGCTCTGCTGCAGCCCAGGTGGGCTCCCTGCCAGCTCCTGGGAGGGGTATGCTCCCAAGGGCTCACCCTGCACAGGGACCTTTAAACTTGGCCTGTGGTTCCCTTGGGTCTTCTCTAAGTGGCTTCTCAGAGGTGCCAATTGCTGACCCCTCTGCCCCCACAAAACTTCCTGTCACATAATTTAATGGTTAGCTTCCCTGAAGCCCAGGAATATCACCAGCCTTCTGGTCTGGAAGAAATGCTCACCGTGGCATTTGGTGAATGGGTACTGTGTGCTAGGTCAGAGGGGCCAGGGTATTTTATTTAGTCCTTTCAACTTGGATTGATTTATTATTTATTTTGTGATCCTGGGGATTGAACCCAGGGCTTTCACAGTGAGCTACATCTCTGACTTGTTTACTTTTGTGTATGCGTGTGTGTTTTATTTTGAGGCACCTTGCTAAGCTGATAAAATCACAAGGTTGGGCTCACTTTCTACCACCCTGCCTCAGCCTCTCAGATGCTAGGATTACAGGTGTGACCACCACACCTGGCTTGTTTTGTGTTTTGAAACAGTTTCACTATGTGGCCCAGTTGGCCTTGCACAACTGACAGATCTTCCTGTCTCAGCCTCCTGAGTGGGATTTTAGACATACACTAGCACGCCTGGTTCTTTTTAAGAATTGTATCTTCTGTGGGGCGAGAGTGGAGATGCCTATTAGGAGTCGGGGTGGCAGGCGCTCCTTCTGCTCTTCTTTGAGGACCCTCCTGCTGCTCTGGTTCACCATGGGAGTCTGCCCTCCCCAGGATGACCTCCCTGGTTATGGGCCTTCTCACTGTGCTCTCCCTAGGATTCAGCTCCCTGCACAGTTAAGCTGACGCTGAGGAAGGGTCCTGGGTTCCATCCCCAGTGCCACAGCCAAACAAGACAGAAGCAAACCCAAGACAAACAAAATCTGAAATCTCCAACACAGCCTGGGTTAGCCTTGATGATACAGTCTTCCCGCCTCAGCCTCCCGTGAGGATGGGATGGGGTGTTTGTGACTGTAATATTATTCATTTTGGGGGGGTGAGCTCAGCATAGCACCCGCTTGGATCTGTGCTGTGCAGCAGCTGAGGGTCTGAGGTGACAGATGCTGCTCTGTGAACCAGTGAGATAGGTTTTCACTGCTCGGCGCTAAACAGAGAGGAGGTCTGTGGATGGGCCTAGGGGGAAGGAAGCCCCTGTCCCCACCCAGGCCTGGACTTGGCACACAGTGATACAGCGCACTGCCCCATCCACCAGGTACTGTGCTGCAGGATCTGGGTGCCTTCCCTGCTTAGGAGATGGAGGGATCTCGGCCTCCTAAGTCTTCAGAAGAGAGGGCTCAGAGGTCAGAAGAGTGCCTGACAAAGGTCTTTAATTTGCCTAAAATTTTTTTTTTTTGAGGCAGGGTCCAGCCATGTAGCTCAGGCTGGCCTTAAACTCATGGTAATTCTCCTGCCTCAGCCTCGTGAGTGCTGAGATTACAAATGTGCACCACCATGCCCCAAAGATTTGCCTATATTCTTGACATTCTTGATCTGAAGAGGTTAATAAAACTTTTCAGTAAGTTTTCTTCAACCAGAAATTTAAATTAAGCTCCTATCTCTGTCAGCTTTTTTCAAGCATTCCATTAATAACATATTGGCTTCAGACATGGTTTTTATATATACATGAACAACACAATATTATAGTGATTTCTTTGGATCAGATCCCTCAGCAGCAGCCATCTAGGGAACATTCCCCGCCCCAGCTCCTGATGGGTGCCCGGAGTGTGTGTATGGAGTATAGTCGCAGGGCTGGACTGGCCTCACTGCAGGTGCCTTCTTCCTCTGGGAACCCCGAGGTCTGCTCTACCTAGGCCGCCTCCCCTATCTCTCTTCCTCTGCGGATGGGGCATGAGTGTGGTGGTGTCTGGGCTGCACTGAGTGCCAGTACCACTCAGTGGGGTGTGGAGGCCTGGAGGCCACCGAGGAGGCGCCCAGCTCGGGGTCGGGTAGAGAAGCCGCTCTGTCCTCTGCTGCCCCGTCCTCGGGTACTGCAGTCAGACCTTGGCACTGTGTGCCACTGTGCTGCCCGGGAGGATGCCTGTGCTGATTGGGACCGCGGTCATAGGCTGTATGGCCAGCCAGGCCCGTGGAGCTAGACGTCCTCAGATCGCTGTGACGCGCCTCAGATGTATAACAGGCGGACCCATGTCCTCTCCAGGGACCCTCACGTGTGTGTGCTTCATGTGCCTTGCATGTGTCTCACGTGTGTGCTGTGTGCGGTGTGCATGGCCTGGGCTTGCCCTCCAGCCGGACGGAGCCTCGAGTGCTGCATTCCCTGGGTCCTTGGCCCTGCGCCGTACCTGTGACGACCGTTTCCCTTCCAGGATTTGATTTTCCCAAGAGCTGTGCTGCAGAAAGCCATGCAGTGATGAGCAGCCTCACGCATCTGTGGCTGCCGCGGTGTTTCTGCAGCAGAGCTTGGCAGAGGGCAGTGTGGGTGGCTGTGGCCTGAACCCACCAGGTCCACTCCCGTGCTGCCAAGTTGCCCTCGTGAAGAGGCTGCTCCGTGCCCTGTTTTTCTGTGGATGGGGACCCTTGGCCTCTAACAATGAGTAAATGCCGTTGACATGGAGGGTAAAAGCGGGGATCAGCTGCCGTGGTTTGCACTCTTAGCTTTAAACAGGTCGGTGTATGGTTTGTTTTGGGACAAGACCTTTGTGTATAGCCCAGCTGGCCTCGTGCTTCGACTGTCCAGCCTCGGTCTCCGAAGTGCTAGGCTTGTGGGTGTGTGCCCATGCGCATCTCTAGAGAGCTCTGCGCTGCATCCCACTGGTCTGGGCACGTGTGTGGTCAAAAAGTGTGGAGCCCTCCATTGCCCCCCTCTGGGCACAGGTGCCCCCAGACAGGCAAGAGTTCTGAAACCCCCCAGAGCCACGGTCCACTGAGCTGGGTCTTTGGACAGGCTCCTCGACTCTCCTGGATGCCCTGACTCTTCTGGATGCCCGGCTCTGCCCTGTTGTCCCCTGCACGCTCCTGCTCACCATCCTGTCTAGTGAAACCCTGGCCCTGCGCCATGTCCAGGCTGACGTGGGGGAATTTGGTGGCCTGAGGCGCAGGCTTCCCGAGGGTCAGGACAGCACCTAAGCAGGTGCCCATGCTTCCAGGCGTGGCCAGGGACGCTGCCTTTGAGCTCTGTTACCCGGTGCTCAGGCTCAGTCCAAGCAGATCGCAGGAAGCTTCTCTGTGGAGAGCCACTCTGGGGACTTTGCCAGGTCCCCTGAATCTTGGTCTCTCATCTCACGTGCTTTTCTCCACACAGGATCCTTTCCAAAGTCTTCGTCATGGAGTAATACAGACCGAGAGTGCCTTGTTCCGCACTGTATGCACACGTGCAGCGCTGCCCGGTCAGTCCATGGCGCTCCTTCGCCTGCGCGCTCTCGAGCCCCTGCCCAGTGGCAGGAGGAAAGTCCTGTGTTGCCCTCCTCAGCCGGGGCCCTGTAATTAAAGGGAAAAGAAAAGCCACATGTTCGTGTGTGTCTGTAGTCACCGGGGAGGCTGAGGCAGGAGGGTCACTCATACCCATGAGTTCCAGACCAGCCCGGGAAACAGAAAAAAGTGAAACAAATGAAACAATGGCAAGAAGAACGAAATAAAAGAGAAAAGTGTGCACGTTTATTCAACATGCCACTGTGCTGAGCCACCTTTTGCATTCGTATCACTAATTAATCTCCCTCTGCTCTGGGTAAACAGTCTGTAAGGATAGGTAAGTATATTGGGCCTGGTGGTGCCCTGTAATCTCAGCCCTCAGGAGGCTGAGGCAGGAAGATCACTATAAATTTGAGGCTAACCTAGGCTACACAGTGAGTTCAAGGCCAACCTGGAATATACAGTGAGACCTTGTATTAAAAAAGTATATGAGTGAGTCAACTTCACATGAATGAAACTCTTCTTTCTGTTTTTGTTTATTTTCTGAGCCAGGGTTTCACCATGTAGTTCAGGCTGGCCTTGAACTCACCATGTAGCCTAGGCTAGCCCCAAAGAGATTTTCCTGCCTCAGCCTTCTGAGTGCTGGGCTTGTAGGTGTGTGCCATCACCCTTGGCTTGACTTGTGGCTTTCTTAAGTAAATAGTCTGTGAACCCCACGGGGAGGTCTTTTTGTGGACATACACCATCACTTCTCTTGGGAGATACTGGGGAGTCCGGGGGCTGTGATTCACCCCATACCTGCATTTCTAAGTCAGGAAAAACCCCCTGATGTCTGGAGGGAGGTTTAGTCAGAGAAGGAGGCGAGCCCCTACCCCTCCCACAGCTGCCTGCTCCCCTCCCCCCCACTCCAGGGCAGTGACCTGGATTCTCCGAGTGTCTGGTGCCAAGGATGGAGGCCGCCTTGGGCTGTCACTCTGCCTCACTCCCCTGTGGCGCAGACACTGTGGGAATTCATCTTTGTGTTTTAAATTTCCCTGCAGGTTTCTTTGCAAGTGATTGAAAAGAAAACTCGCGATGCCCGAAAACCCTGCTACAGGTAGGTGTGACTGAGCCTCGAGTCTCGTGTACCATGTCACGTGTCATGTGTCTGGGCGGTGGGGGGGCAGGCACTCACAGCTCCTCCTCTTAGACAAGCTGCAGGTGCTACAGGTGCTCGAGCGGCTGCGGGCTAAGCTGCAGGACAAGGGCGACACGTCACAGCATGACACACTGTCCACCTTCTGCGACGTGCTGCAGAGCCCGCTCTTCACCCAGATCCTCACACTGCAGAAGTCCCTGCGACAGCTCAAGGGCCAGGTGAGTCCCCAGCGTGGCATGGGCAGCGGCTCGTAGAGAATGGTGTTGGCCGTAAGCTGCCAGATGCTGATGGTGCGTTGTAGGCCGGGGCTTTGGGAACAGGGTTCTGTACTTAGTTAATAATGTGGACAGGTCCCAGAACTCAGGAGGCTGAGGCAGGAGGGTCACTGTGAGTTCAGAACCAGCCTGGGCTCCATGGTGAGTTCAAGGCCAGCCTGCACTGCACAGTGAGACCCTGTCTCCTCACTCTCTGTCTCTGTCTGTCTGTCTGTCTGTCTCTCTCTCTCTCTCTCTCTCTCTCTCACACACACACACACACACACACACACACACACACACACACATGCACGCACGCACGCACGCACGCACGCACGCAGAGAAATGGCCCAGGTGGTGGCTCATGCCTGGCTGTGCTTTACTTTCATGTGCCTGTCTCTCTCTTTTTCTGTTTCTGTCTCTGTATTTTCTTTCATAGGCTTGTCTCTCTCTGTTTTTCTCTGTGTCTCTATCTCTTGTTTTCCTCTCTGTCTCTCTCCATGTCTGTCTCTCTATTTCTGTCCCTGCCTCTCTCTGCGTCTTTATTATCTTTTAGTTTTGTGGACTGGGCTCTCTGCTCCCCGGGCTGGGCCCTAGCTTGTGCGCCCAGCCTCACGCATGTTTCTTCTGAGCCCTGCGCCTGTGCGGCCGAGCCGTGCCAGGCGGTCAGTAGGAGCCCCGTGCCCAAGATCTCTGCTTCACTCTCGGCTCGCCCCACAGCTCAGCCACAGCCCCTCAGCCATACCTGCCAACTTCGACTTCTCGCGGAAGGGCCTGCTCGTATTCACCGAGGGCACCACTGCCAATGGGCAGGCACCCCGGCCCGCTGATGCCTGCGTGGCCGTCCCAGGACCCGGCCCCTGGGCCCTGCAGCTGGGCAGTGACAGCTTCAACGCTACCGTGGAGCGGCTGGCCCAGGTGAGGCCCCTGCAGAGGGACCCGGCTCGCGTCTCTTGCTTGGGGTTAAGAGGGAAAGCACGGATGTCTGGGGGCTTCGTGGGGTGTCCCACATGCAGACTGTGCACCTCCTGCACTTTGGGGAGCATGTCTCCCGTTTTCCATCCGGCTGTTGAAAATCTGTTGTAAAATCCCTTGAGAAAACCCGTGTCGGGAGGGCGATCTTAGAGATCCAGCAGCATCCAAGGCCCTTCTCCTAAGAAGAGAGAACCCTGGGGCACTCCTGGGGCAGGGAGCATCTGTGTAGATGGCCTCAAACAGCCCTGGAGCTTTTTAACTTTATACCAAAACGAACTGGTGGTTGCTGGAAATAATATGCCTTGGGCATCTAGGAAAATGATTTGAAAGAGGAACCCCACTGCAGCCCTGTACCTATTTAAAGTTAAATGACAGTTGGATTTGGGTGGGTGTTAATTTTTGTTTATTTTACCACCTAATAAAGAGCTTTGCACATGAAATTTGAGTTTGAAACTTAAAACTGTCTGAACTGGGCAGCATGTCACCTTAATCCCAGCTGCTAGGGAGGCTGAGGCAGAAGGGTCATGAGTTTGGGAGAGCTTAGACCTTTTAGCAAGACTGTGCCTCAAAATAAAATGTGCACCAAAATGAGATAAAAATAAAGTAGTCTGCTCAAGGTGTGGTAGTTCAGTTTCATTTGGGATTTTTTTTTTTTTTTTTTTTTTGTATTAGGGATTGAACGCAGGGCTTTCTGAGATGTATCCTAGCCTGTTTTTTACTTTTATTCTGAGACTTTTATTCTGGGAGGCTCATTAAGTTTCCCGGCCTGGGTTAGAGCTTGCAGTCCTCCTGCCTCAGCCTCCCAGAGTGCTGGGTTGATGGACCTGTTCCTCCATGCCAGGCTCCAGCTCCTTGTCTGACTTCAGGACTCGATCTGTGTCACTAGTAGATTCCACACACACGAGTGTGGCCCAGGCACAGTGCATGCTGGGGAGTGGCCATCCTGACTGATGTCCCCTCTGTCCCTTCAGGGCCGGCAGGTCGAGTACATCAGTATTGAGCGGCCGCCAACCGGGGGCCTGGGCTTCAGCGTGGTCGCCCTGAGGAACCAGCGCCTAGGGGAGGTGGACATCTTCGTAAAGGAGGTGCACCCAGGCAGCGTGGCCGAACGGTGGGTGCCGGTGCTTCCTGATGGTTCTGAAGGTGGGGTGCTGATGGTGGTGATGATGGGGGTGATGACGGTGATGGTGCTGATGGTGGTAATGACAGTGATGATGGTGATGGTGGTGATGCTGGTGGTGATGACAGTGATGATGGTGATGGTGGTGGTGATGACAGTGATGATAATGTGGTCCCCCAAGTCACACTTCTCACCCAACAGATTTCCATGACCCATGCCTTTCCTCAGCAGCAGCCGCCTCATATGGTTCAGTGCCTGGGGAGCAGACACCCAGGATGCCGTGGTTCAGGGTTGGAGTCTAGTTCTGTTGCTAGGGACGGGGGTCTGGAGTGAGGGCGCTGCCTTCACAGTGTGGCAGATCCATTGCTCAGCGGCTGCTCTTAATTATGGAGGACCCCAGACTCATACGTTCCAGGGATCGGAAACTTGGGGAGCTACAGTTGAGCTGGGGCAGCCCCAGACCTGGGGAGCAGAGGCCGAGGCTCAATGGGGAGAAGCAGGTCAATCAGAAGCAGGAAGTGAGGGCTGCCTGGAAGCCCGGGTCTGGGGTCAGTGCGAGTGCAGCCCTGGGAGTGGGTTTGGGTGGAGCCTTGGGTGCCAGCTGTTCCCCCGTCCCAGGGTTCTGGTTGCTGTGCCTCAGCCATGACAGCTCACGTGCTCTGAGAGGCATGAGGCAAGGGAACGGCTTCTCGTCACTCAGCTTGTGTGCTCAGGAGTGTTATTCCAGGTCCCTGAAGAAATCCTCCTTTATGAAGCAGACCTCACAGGTGTTTGCTTTCTCTTTTGGGGATTCTCTCTCTCTCTCTCTCTCTCTCTCTCTCTCTCTCTCTCTCTTTCTCTCTTTCTCTCTGTCTGTCTGTCTGTCTGTCTGTCTGCCTTCCTTGTTTAGAGACCAGGCTCTTGTTAGGAAGTTCAGGCTGGCTAGGACTCACAATGGTCCTCCGGCTTCCACAGGTGAGCGCTGCCTCACCCGTCCTGGGTCTCCTCATGGGCAGCAGCAATGCACGGTCAGCCACGTCTCACGCACTCACTCCCTCACTGACATAGCTCTCATGAGTCCTTGGCCACACTTGAACCTGGGCTCCTTCAGCCCCAGCCCCTCAGCCTCAGGATGACAGGCAAGCACCACCCTGCCCGGCCCCCACAAGGACATGGGCATAACTCCTTGGGGTGCTGGGGTCCTGGGGTCCTCTGCAGACCAGTGGTGGCAAGGGAGCACAGCAGGGGCCTGTGTGCGGCGAGGCTGCGCTGTGCTGGATGCAGTGACCCCGGTGGTGGGTGGAGCTGGCCGAGGACTCCGAAGTCCATTTGAGTGGTGCTTGCGCTCACAGAAACTTGGCAGAAGGGCCCTGAAATTGTTCGTGTTCATTTTCTTAGGCGATGAGTTTTACAGTTGTGTGCATGCATGTGTGTATGCTTACAAGTGTGTGCGTATATATACATGTGTATGCACACATATGTGTACATATGTGTGTGTATGTGGATATATGTGTGTGTGTGCATGCGTGTGTGTGTTCACGCAGCCTGCATTCAGTGAGGCATTGCATGATGAGTGAGCCAGTTGTTAGGCCTCAACCAATCCGGGACTTGGGGACGCATACCATGTGCAGGACTAGTGATCTTTGGGGTGTGTACGCTGCAGCAGTGCCATGAGCAACACACCGCTCCCCAGTGTTTCGGACCGTGCTGTGCCTGCTGTAAACGTGACTTTATTTTCTCCTGTGATTCAGGGATCAGCGGCTGAAGGAGAACGACCAGATTCTGGCCATCAACCACACGGCCCTGGACCAGTCAGTCTCCCACCAGCAGGCAGTTGCCCTGCTGCAGCGCAGCACGGGGCCCCTGCACCTTGTGGTGGCCAGGGAGCCGGTGCTTGCGAGCAGCGGATGCCCTGGAAGCCCCCCGGGCCTGGCACCCTTGGCTGCGCCTGACGTGGTGAGTCGTGGGCAAGCACGGCCCTTAGTGTGGGATGCGTGAAGGTAATTTCCGGGTTTTTTGGGGCAGGGTCTCCCTGCATGATATACTTTTTTTTCAATGTCCTATGGGTCTTCTTAAGATTACTTTTAAATATATAGACCATTCTGAATAGGAGGTGTAATTTATTTGATGATGGAAAGTCTTGTGTTTCCCAATGATGGAGGGTTTTTACTAGAGTTTTACTGCTGAGCGTTTGAGGAGTGGTTATTTTAGAAGCATTATTTTTGTGGATGATGGCAAGAGTGACGGCTTGGTTATCGATGTTGCAGAGTTACAGGCCTTTGCCTTCCTGGGAGGGTGTGCAGTGTATGGCTCAGAGGAAGAGCTTCTGTCTCTTCTGGGAGCCTCAAATTCGCTTTGTTGATTTTGGCTGCATCTTGGGAACGCAGATATAAATCCTGTGTCCTTACAATGCTAAGAGCTGGCTGCTCTCTCCGCTCTTCCTTCCTTGGGACGGAGGGAGAAGCAGTATGCTAGGGCACAGCGAGGGCTCATGCAGGCAGTGTTCCTGAAGTAAGTGAGTGGTGGGCGCCCTGTGTGCAGAGATCTGGGCTTCCAGAGAACAGGCAGTGCTCCTGCTCCGTGCTCTGTATGTCTTCTCAGTGCTCCTGCGTGCTTATTTGATTATTTGATTATTATTTGTGTGCGTGTGGGTGGTGTCAGGAATCGCACTCAGGGCCTTCTTGCTGAGCAACCTCACCAGCCCTTGCTTCCCCTCTTACTTTAGGGTCTTGAAGTACCTAAGATGCTGAGGCAGGGTTTGAACTTACAGTCCTCCTGCCTCAGCCTGCAGAGTGCAGGAGTCACTGCTCTGTCTGCCTGGTGTCTCTTACCCATGCGTTGCTGTCCCCTCCCCTGTGCTTGTGTGTCATTAAGACAGGGTCTCACTGTGTAGCCCAGAGTGGCCTTGAAATCACAGAGACCCTCCTGCCTCAGCCTCCTAAGTGCTGGGATTATAGGCATGTGCCACTACGCCAGTTTGTCGTACAGCTTAAGTGCCCTCTCCTCACCCTGAATTATGTGTCTTAGGCCCCATCCTGGCCCCTCCATGACTCTTTGAGATTTGCCTTCAAGTTGAGGGAACACTCTTTTTGGTGCTGGACCTGTGCTCTGTCCTGGGTGCAGACTGGATGGTTCTGGCACAAAGTGCTGAGGGCCTGACACTCACCCTGTGGTTTAGTTGTGTTTCAGATTCTCTCCTGGATCACGTATCCCTGAGAATAGGGGCATCTGGGTTTGTCTATGTGTGTCTGTGCACACCTGGGTGTCTATGTGTTTATCTGTGTACGTATGTGCATGTGTCTGTGTATCTGTGCACCTGTGCATGTCTATGTCTTATGTGTGCATGTGCAGTGTCTCTGTGCAGTGTCTGTGCACTGTGTGCCTGTCTGTGTCTCTATACATGTATGCCTGTGTCTGTGTGTCTTATGTGTGCCTGTGCACGTGTCTCTGTGTGTGTCTATGCACTGTGTGCCCGTCTGTGTGTCTATACACATATGAGTGTGTCTGTGTGTCTTATGTGTGCATGTGTGTCTCTGTGTGTGTCCATGCACATGGGTGTGCACTGTCTGTGTGCATGTGTCTGTTGCGTGCCTGTGTTTGTCCAGCCCCAGGGAGCGCTCTCGGCGCTTGGTGCTCATCCTGGCCTCAGCTGGTCATGGTCCGGAAGAAGCAGGCGCTGACCCCTGTGCCCTGACTCCCTGGCTCTGTGCTCTGTCACCCTGCAGGTTCGCTGGGGCCACATGGAGGAGGTGGAGCTCATCAACGACGGCTCTGGCCTGGGTTTTGGGATCGTCGGGGGGAAGTCGAGTGGCGTGGTGGTGAGGACGATCGTGCCTGGAGGACTGGCAGATCGGGTAAGTGGATTTTGGCTTTGCAGAGTTTAAATTTTATGACATTTTATAAATGAACTACTGGGACATGTGACTTTATAGCTAGAACTTAGTATTGCTTTAAAAATGAACAGGCATGTGGCAGGGTGAGAGAGGGCCACATAGAAAGAACCCACCTCAAAACACAAACGAACAAAAAGTTTTATCCCAGAAGTGTCGGTACCTACTTGGCTTCATTTTACACAGCTCTTAATGGCCTTTTTTTTTTTCCTTTCAAAAAGAGTTGTTGATAAACATTCTTGCTAATCCTAAGGAATGTCAGACACCCACAGGCCTCTCCTCCAGGTTTACTTTCAAGGGTTTAGATTATAAATCAGAAGTGCAGTGACCACAGTGCTGCTTGAATTAAAATTCCCTGATACTGCGAATCAAGTGTTGCTTTTCATATTGTTCTTATTATCATCATCATTTTGGCTTTTTGAATCAGGGTCTCACTATTAGCCCGGCCTGGCCTCCATGTGTGTACTGCCACACCCAGCCAGCAACTGTTTTTCCTTAATTTCACACAGAATAAAATGTTAAATATCGCGTTTGGCTTTTAAGAATTACTTCTGAAGTTTCCTTGTGAGGCCCCTGAGCATACATACTGAGCATGTATTAGGTGGGAGGCTAGGATAAATTAGAGCTCACTCCAGTTAGTGCCACGTCAGTGTACTGGACAGAAGTCTGCTATCGTTATCTATTAGTATGTCAGCATCTCCCTTCTGGAGATATAAGCAGGAAACAGGAAACGCATGATGAGTTCCTCCTTTCTGATGGAGATTGATCCAACTTTTTTTTTTTCATGGTACTGGGGATTGAACCCAAGTCTTTGTGGTGAGCCACAACCCAGCCCTTTTTAAATTTTTATTTTGAGATAGGGTCTTGTTAAGTCACTAAGCTGACTAGGCTGGACTCAAACTTAGGACTCTCCTGCCTCAGCCTTCCAGAGTGCTGGGATGCCAGGAGTGGCCACCACACCATGCCGGCTGCTCTCCCCTGTCCAGTGGCGGCTGGGGCTGATGGTCCCACTGCCCCTCCAGTCTTGTCTGTGTCAACAGCAGGAGTTCTCCAAGCTGGGGCTCTGGGCTCTGGGCTCTGGGGTCTGAGAACAAGTGAGCCACAGCAGAGACACAGTCACATCTCTGACCCTTCCACCCCTGACAGCAGAGAGGCCGTCGCTGCTGGAGTCTTAGTATAAAACGTGGCCATGGCCACAAAGTGTGTGTGGCCTCCACATTTTCTCACTGTGTATACTTCCCACAAAAGAAAAGAAACACCAGGTCATATAAGGCTGTGCGTAATGTAAAATCACTAATTCAGTGACCTTAGACCTCTGATGTATCTTTTTAATACTGTGCAATCTGTCTTAGTTACTTCCCTGTTGCTGGGATAATATACCCAACATCCATGAGTTATAGGAGGAGATGTTTATTTGGCCTACAGTTTATCTCTAACAGAGATAGACTCCACAGTTTCAGTCTCTAGTCTGCTAGCTCAATGGTAGGACAGCATGGCAGATGGCACCACAGAGGAACAGTCCATGGCAGGGCAGGCAGGGGGCAGGAAGCGGCTGGCCTCCCTTTCCTTTTTACTCTATTCAGGGTACAAGCCTATTGAGTGATGCCACCCACCAGGGTGGGTCTTTCCCTTACCCACCCCCAGTCCTGTGCTTCCCCAATCAGTAGACCAATCCAGTTACCACACCCTTAATCCAGTGTCACATCATGATCCAGTCACACCCGGACGCCCACCCGTGAGTGGATATCAGATACAGCATGAGCCCTAATAGTGACCAAATGGAAGGCTCCAGTTAGGTCCTGCCCTGGGCCAAAGCACAAAGACTGTCCTGGGAAAAGAACCTAGCTGTGAGATAAGCTAGATCTTTTGTTAAAAATACAGAACAGAATTTTTATTTTTGAAATAATAACTGTCATAAAAATTATGTTATGCAGCATTTAATAGAAACTTTTCTGAAAATGAATAAAATGAGCCTGCTATGCCCAGGAAAACACTTATAGTGTTAATCAGCAATGATAAATTTAGAGCTTTCAAAAGATTGGAAGTTAAAAATATTATATTTACTATGCCCTTGAAGTTTCTACTATTTGGAGACTTTTCTGAGTGGATTGTTAATGAGGGTCACCAATGTAATTTTTTAGGATAAAATGAAATACATTAATATGCAGAAGATCTGTATAACTATGTGAATCAGTATTTTCTAAATACCAGTATGTGCTGTGTTAAATTAATTCTCTGAGTTACAGAAAGGTATGTTTTTAGTTTTTGAAGAAAATATTTGATTTTTTTAGTTCTTTTTGTAGTTCAGCCCTGACTTGTTATAGGTTTAAAAAAAAAAAAAAACAAATAATTGGAACATATGTAGAGGTAGGATCTTACTTTGTTGCCCAGGTTGGCCTCAAAGACCTGGACTCCAGGGGTTTCCTTACCTTGGCCTTATAGCTGGTAGGATTACAGACATTTTTTTTGGTACCAAAAATCAAAATTTGGGACCTCATACTTGCCAGGCAGGCACTGTGTCACTGAGCTATATCCCTGGCCCTATTTCTCCTCCTCCTCCTCTTTCTCTTCCTCCTCTTCTTTTTTTGTTTTATCCCTGAAATAAAATGGATTTAGAAAAAAACTAGAGAGATTTAATATTTCCTCCACCTAACTGGCCCAAAAACCAGAATTACAGGCTTGCAGCACTGAGCCCAGCTCACATACCTGTTTTTTAGTTGAAACTGTCAAAAAAATGTGAGTGTAAAATAGCTCAGCCCGAATGTGTTTGCTCAGATCAGCACACTTTCCCTCTGCGGCTGTGCAGGGGTACCTGGTGGTGTCACCCTGGCCCTGCATCCCCAGGTAGCTGATCGGCTGCTTGTTCTTTCGTTCTCTAAGACCTCACAGCTATCCAGGCCGGCTCCTAACGGTTTTGGAAGCCTGAGCGGGGCGCAGGGACCCAGCTCCTCCAGTGTCCTCTCGTGGGGACGGGTCAGGAAGTGCCATCCCAGGCGCTGCTAGCGGGCTGTCATTTTGGTGTCTTTCCCGTCAATCTATTTTTACACTTGCCAATTCCTCAGAACACCTGCTTTTCTGCCAGAAGAAAATGTTTGACTTTCAGTGACAGATGCAAATTGTTGGTGTCATTTCCAATTAAGAGCTGAGGTGAAATCGCAGGAAGTGGTGCCTGCCAGGACTCCTGAGGGCTGCCTTCTGGGGTGCCCTGCTGGGCGCGGCTGCACCTGTGTGTCCACCTCGGGTGCTGCCTCCCACACAGCAGCTGCTCCTGCGCTTCCTGTGCTGCCTAGCTGAAAGCAGCGCCGAGGCACCGCTGACCACCTAGGGCCTTAGCCTCTGGGGCCCCTTTTCCACCTCCCCACTCTGAGCACTGCTTCCTCCCCGCCACTGGGGGCGCACTCCTGCCACTCCGCTGGAGTCCTACCGCCCACAGCACAGCGGCAGCCTCACCCACTGCAGCCTCAGACTGGCGCCCTCCCAGCAGAGCGGGCTGATGGAGGCCTGTGCGTCTCTGTCCCGGTCTCCAGTCTTTCTCCGGGGAGGTTTCATGTGTAATTTGCAGACGCTGCCACCGGAACCGCGTTAGACGTTTAGAGCCAGGTTTGCTCCTCGCTGCTTTTCTCCTTCTAGGGCCATCTCCCTCTCCCACGTGCAGAATGCCTGTTTTCGCGCCTTCCTTCCTTGTTCCTTTCCTTCAAGCTGACTTGAACCCAAGGCCTCATGCCTTGGGCAGCACTTTTCCACTGAGCTATGCCCTGTGCCCACAACATGGTGCCTCTGTTTCTCACCCTACGGTGCAGGAAGCGATAAGTTAGCTGCCCACTGAAGTGCTGCACCCTGGGGATGCTGAGGCAGGAGGCAGCAACAGACTGTGGGCAGCTCCCACGCTCACCTGAGCCCACCTCCCAGATTAGAGGGTGACCCAGGAGGGCGGCTTCTGACTGTGAAGTCTCACAGGCGTGGTTTTCTAACTCCCAGCTGTACTGGCTTTGTGACAGGGTGCTGTGAGGAATTAAAGAGGAGTTGGGGTATCGGGGTTACCCTCCTTAAAAACGCAGAGGTGGACCTGCTGCAGAAATTCCTTGGAGGAAAGCTGGGCGAGGGGCACCTCTGGACCAGCATCTTTGATGTTTCTCTATGAAGCATGCATGGATGCATACACAGGCATCCACGGTGCCCCACGCATTTAGGTGGCAAAAGTCACCCCATGATCACCAGTGTCCTTGTGGCCCATGCAGGGCTGTCCCTCTCGGACGGAGCCCAGAGGAGGCCTGCACTCGCCTCCTGGCTCTGACCCCAGCCCCCACACCCACCGGCCCCCGTGCAGACCCGACCCACATAGTCCTTGCCCTCAGCTCTTCTCTGTCCACCCCATGTCTCCCCTGTGTGTCTTTCATTTGTTTGTTTCTGAGATGAGATCTCACTCTATAGTTCAGGCTGCCCTGAAACTCAAGGTGATTATCCTGCCTCAGCCTCCTCTGTGTCTTCATCTTTTCTGGATACTCAGGCTAGATCATGGGGCTTGAGCCCCTCTTTCCCACACCCCACAGAGAAGCTCTCAGCAGAGCCTGTTGACACTGCTTGCAAACATGTGGAACCTGCCTCCTACCCTCACTGCTACCCTAGTCCATGTGGCTGACGTCCCCTTCCAGAGCTGTGCTGAGTTCCGGCTGGCATGGGGTCTCGGGCCGTTCTTCTCCTGTTGTCCGTCATCAGTGACCCTGCCATACACGGTCGTCGAGGTTGCCTGTCCTGTCTGACCCACTCTCGCCTCCTGTGCTCCTCCAGGTTCTTTGCTCAACCCCAGTTGCTCCATCCCAATGTCGCTGAGCTCAGTGACTTTGTCACGGTGCAGCTATCTGGAGGTTTCTGTCCCCTTCCTCCTCGAGCCTGGGCTTCTGTGCCCTTCCGGGTCACAGGCCGCTCATACACTGGCCTTGATGCCAGAATGTATACACATGCGTGTTCAGGGTTCTACTGCCAGAATCCTGTGTTAGGCAAGTCAGCCTTCACCCCGGAGGCTCAGGGACTTGGCCTGCGTGAAAATTCCAGCTTTTTACGCGGCTTCCTCAGGAGAACTCATTTCAGCAGTGGGAGTGGAGGAGTTGCAGTGGACCAGGGTCATGACCCTATTGGCTGGGGTGACTTTTGTTTTCTTGGGTTAAAGGATGGAAGGCTGCACACTGGGGACCACATCCTGAGGATCGGCGGCACCGATGTGCAGGGCCTGAGCAGCGAGCAGGTTGCCCAGGTGCTGAGGACCTGTGGGAGCATGGTCAGGATGCTGGTGGCCCGGGATCCAGCGGGCGGGATCATAGTGAAACCCCCCACACCCACCACCTCGCCTGTCGCCCTGCCTGCTGTCCTGACCAGCAGGAGCCCTGCTTCGGTGAGTAAGAGATACCACCAGGGTCACACCACCAGAGAGGCGGGTGTGGCCTCGAAGGAGACCTGGGTGAGGTGCAGGGATAACCTCAGTCCCTGAGGGGTCATCGCTGGTGCCAGCGGGATGCCTGGTAATGACACTTAGCTGCAGGGACAGGTCTCCCTGCAGGAAAGCAATAACGATCTCAGTCTTGACTTCTGGTCACTGCCCAGCTCTGCACTGTCCTGTGACCTCGAGTGGGGCCACCACCCCTCTGCAGGCTGCAGATGCAGCTCAGCAGCTCAGTGCTAGGTGTGTGGGGCATGGAAGCTGGAACTGGGTTCAGGGCTCTTAAGGATCTGCTTGAAAGCCCAGTAAAATGAATGCAAAGCCAAGGGTCTCAGAAAGAGGGCCCAGTCCAAGGTAGGGGAAGAAAATAGGGTGATAGTGGCAAGATCCCCAGTCCACATCCTGAGGCCTCACTGTGGTCTGCAGCAGGGTTGCCTGCCTTTTCCTCCTGGAAGCCACAGGATAGAGGATTTTCTTTCAGATTTGTTTGCTCATGTCTGCAGTGTGTGAGTAACGGCTACGTCCACTGTGGGGCGTTGGTCCATGGGCTGCTTCCCAGTCTTCCCAGTCTCCTCCATTCCCTCTCTCATGCCTTCCTCAGCTGGAAATTTTCTTTGTGCTTTCTTTCTTTTCTTTTTCCTTTTCCTGTATGCTGGGGATAGAACCCAGGACCTGGTGTGTGCCAAGCAAATGTTCTCCACTGAGCTATACCCCTAGTTCTTCATATTTTTAATTTTGAGATGGGTCTGGCTAAAAATGTGGTGGCACACATCTGTAATTCCAGTGGAGGCTGAGGCAGGAGGATCACCATGAGTTGTTGCCAGCCTAAACTAGAGAGCGAGAGCCTCTGTTATTTTTTTAACAAAAAATAGTGTTTGAAACAGCCTGGGGGACTTGGCAAGGCCCTGTCCTAAACCTAAATGGTGGCTGAGGGTGCAGCTCAGTGCTCACTGAACTTAACCCCCAGCACTGCCAACTGTTCCTTCATCCAAAGCAGCTGTTTCCTCCCCTGCCTTTGCTCCAAGCCCAGAAGCTTCCCCTTTGTGAGGACCTGAAGGTGGGGGAACAGCATGTGATCCAGTCCATGCGGGTCCCACCCGAAGGTGGGTGCTGTCCTAGGCCCAAGCTCTGGGACAGAGATTCCAGAACATTCAGGGTCAGTCTTTCCTGTAGAGCTCACAACTGCTAGCCTGACTTTTGTTTTGCAGTGTCCTGGGGGGGAAGCGTCTCGGGGTCTTCCCGAGTGGCTGTGTTGGTTTTCTGTTGCTGTGGCCCATTCACTGCAGACACAGCTGTGTCGGTTCACAGCTATGGTCAGAGCTCCCAGCTCAGACCCCGAGCATGGCACGGCCCAGGTGCTGGCCAGGCCCACTGTGGCCTGGGCCGTCCGGGTGTGGGTGGCCCAGTTCCCATGGCTGTCGGGTGCGCAGCCCTTTTCTGGGCTGCCATCAGCCTGAGGTCTTGCACCTTGGACAGGTCCTGGTCCAGTGCTGCTGGACACAATGATTAGATGAGTTCTTCTCCCCCTGCCACCAGCGGTCTAGCACCAGAGCCACTTTGGAGGCTGTGGGCCACAGGAATCATCCTAAAATTCTGCTTCCTGTAGAAAAACTCGATGGCTCTCCCACACGCCTGTGACCATAGCTGCGTAGCCAAACGTATAGTCAGGCTTGCTGTTTCCTCCTAGGACAGTTCCTCACTTTTTGAAACTCACAACGTTGAACTCGTTAAACAAGACGGGCAGAGCCTTGGGATTAGGATTGTTGGCTACGTTGGAACATCTCACACAGGTAAAGGGGTCGCCGCTCTCCTCTGTCACAAGTGATCATGCAGGGCACTAAGGGTTTTTAGAGTAAAATTGTGTACCTTCTGTTTTAATTTAATCCCTGAACAGTGAAAGCATGACTCTAGAATAGCAGCCAGTAACTTTTCAGCAATTAGCAAATCACCTTTTCATCTCAGTGGTTTAATGGTGGGGCTAGAATTCGTCAAGGCCTGCATTTAACTGTCCAGTTCAGTGAGTAACATTAGGATTCCACCTCCTGCTGTGCAGAGCTGTAGCCTGCAGTGTCCTGTCACTTGGCGCTGTGTCTGTGCGGGAGTGAGGTGAGGGTGTAGTGCCGCACCTTGCAAACAGCTGAGGGTTAGGGTTATGTTTAATCACGGAAAACGGTAAAGCAAGTATTTGTAAAGGAGGAGCAGGAAAATAAAGTAAAAGCGTGCACATAAGCACATGGCTGTGAATAAAACTGAGTAAGTCTCCCCACCTCCCACCTCCCCTGCCACTGAGTCCTGCAGAGAAAGCTTTGGTAGCTTTCACAGTGGGAAGTTTCCTTTTATTGTAAGAGAATCGCTGGGATAAGAGAAAGTAAATCTTTACATTAAGTTTGGTAATTGCATGAAGATTCAGTTGTGAGATCGTTTATCTTTCTGAAAAGCAGCAAGATTGGAGCGTCCGTTTCTGTTAAGCAGTTACCTGCCCCGCAGCAGGTGGAGCATTAGGGTGCTCATGTATTCACGCCCGACAGTGACATTCCTGTCACTCTGGCTTGCGCTATTTTAGCCTCATGACACACTGTTTTTCATCTTCTTCTAAGTGCCACCGTTTTTAGGGTTAGAATTTAAATGAGCTCCAAAAGAGTGAAGCGTAGATTTTATAAAAATGTTGGAAAAAAAAAAAAAAAAGAAAAGCATGCTGAGTGGTTTTCCGAGTGTTACGTCTGGTTAAAGGAACTGTGGTTCAGTTTCTAAACTCACGGCTTAGTTCCTAATGAAAACAAATGACCTGTGGGAAACTGAGAACATTCGATGTTTGTGTTACTGAATAAAGAAAACAATCATTTTGCTTCTTTCCCCTCAAACAAAGTTTTGGGGTCTGGTGGTTGGGGAGAAGGTCAGATGAATCCAAGAACTAGAATATTTTAAAACTGCTTTGTCTGGGGGGTGCTGAGCCACAGCCCTGCCTGCTCCATTCTTTCGAATTCGTATTCTTAAGGGTATGTTTGCTCTGTCCAGTTTATCGGACCTTTGAGGATAAGGTAGTGCTGGAAGTTCAGGGAAATGACTAGAAGAAGAGTCTAGGTTCCCAGCTCACGCTTATAATCTCAGCTACTTGGGAGCTGAGCAAAAGAATCACTAGAGCCCAGGAATTCCAGACCAGCCCGGGTGACACAGTGATACCCATCGCCCACAGTAGTGGAAAGGAAAGGAAAGTCTGCTAGAGAGACAAACGTGTAGCATGTGAGAGACATCAATGAGAGAAGTATTTTTGCATAGGTATGTGGTTATCATGGGGGGGCATATGAAAAGTTTGATTTAACAGCAGAAAATGAAAATTCACAAAGCAGGAGTTGTTTGGGCTGGGAACAAAAAAGCAAAGGATTTGATAGAAGGCTTGAGATTGACAGGAAGAAAGAATCCCTGAGAGGAAGTGTGGAGTCGGGAAGACGCTTGTGTTTTGGGTGAAATCAGATCTGGGGTGTCTGGGCCTTTATCAAAGAGATACAGTGAGGGAAATAAGTTTGCTCATAGATTCTGAGGGACCTTGAATGTGAGTCTGTGGGGTTCACGTGTTGTATGTAGGTCATAGGGAATTGTTTTGAGTTTATTTGAAATTAACAAAAGATAAAACCACTCGCGTTTATGGCTCCCTGCCAGTGCCATCACAAAGGAAGGCACATTTGTGTGGAGTTGTAACCTGTGTCTGTTCTACAGTGGAAGCCCAGTGCGGGTTCTTGCCAGTCACCTCGTCTTAGGGTGTGGGAGGTGCTCTCTGCAGGGAGTGCTGGGGACACGGTCCCACCTGGAGTGGACCGGGGAGGCTTGGCTGAGTCATGGCAGCCCTGAGCCCAGCCAGGTCCCGGCAGTGCTTCTCAGAGGAACAGAGCGCGGTCATTTGCATTGGGGGCCCTGTGAGGGTAACAAGCTGGAAGACCCTGAGCTTCTCTGCCCGTGTTCCAAGGATGTCTGTCAGCCTGGCCTCCCGCCCCTTCACCTGTTGGTGGGTGCGGTGCAGTCAGAGCTCTGTGCCTCTGCCACACCCAGGGGAGCCCGCAGGCATCTACGTGAAGAGCATCGTGCCTGGCAGCGCGGCACAGCACAGCGGCCAGATCCGAGTGGACGACCAGATCGTGGCAGTGAGTCTGCTCACCCTTGGACCGAGGCCAGGAGGGTGACCCAGGGGAGGGGCGCTGGGTCCTAGAAACACCAAGTTCACAGTGAAGTTGCACTCGTGTTTCTTCACTTATTTATTTAGTTCTTTTGGCTTTTGGAAACGGGGTCTTGCTCTGCAGTTCAGGCTGGCTTTGAGCTCACTCTGTAGCCCAGGCTGACCTCAAACTTGCAAGGAACCTTCTGCCTCAGCTTCCCCAGTGCTGCGATTAAAGGCTTGTGCCCCCAATCCCAGCTTCACTTGTCCTCTTTTGGCCCTGCATTTGCTTTTTCTTCAGTCAGTGAAGAAACCACTTAGTAATTGTGTTGGGAGGGAAGAAGATGTGTGCATCTCCAAAGTCCTGGGATTCCGGGAGACTCCAGGCAGCCCTAAGTGCTCTATGAACTCGCCTGCTCTCAGGGTGACGCCTCTGCCCCTCTGAATCCTGGCTCCAGGTTGACGGTGTGGACATCCAGGGCCTGGCCAGTAAGGATGTCGTGCAGGTGCTGCAGGCCTCGGGCCGCGTGGTGCACTTGACTCTGCTGCGCAGGAAGACGCCGGCGCCCTTGCCCCAGCGGCCCTCGGAGACAGGTGACGCGGCAGGTCCCTGGGGCATGGGGTGCCAGGGAGTGCCGTGTATGTGTCAGGGTTGGGCTGAGGTGGTGCTGGCTGGAACACCCCGAATCTGCCTGTGCAGCCCAGCAGCTTCCCCGAAATGCTGTGGCCCCTTGGGCGGCTGGGAAGCCAGAGCTCCGCTTCTGCTCTTTCCGAGCTGTGCTGATTTGTTTCGTAAAGGTCAGCAAGGGAAAGTAAAGAGTGGGTTTGTAACCCAGAGCATCTTCATTCGAGAAATGGTTCTTGTTGTAAATTTGCTATGAAAATAGCAGCTCTTCACGCTGGAGAAACGCATCACGGCACACAGGCCAACTTTGAGCTTTCAGTTTGTGAACGCATGGGTGTCAGTAGGAAGTGGCCGTGAGGCCTGACCATCAGTGCTGCTGCCAGGTCAGGGAGGAGGGCTCCTACATTAGTGTTCATCAGGGGTGAATCAGTGGGCCTGTTTATGCCCCCCTAAGGTCACGAAGCTGGAAGGCTTTGCTTTCAAACCCACATTGCTTTCTGTCAAAACCTTTTTTTGTTTCTGTGTTGAACTCAGGGTCCTTATTTATTTATGTACTTTCAGGACAGGCTCTCACTAGTTGCTAGGTTGCCCAGGCTGGGCTCAAACCTGTCATCTTCCTGCCTCAGCTTCCCAGAGTGCTGACATTACAGGCATAGGTCATAGGCTACACTGGAATTTTTTTTTTTTTTTTTTTTTCAGACAAAGTCTTACTACATAACCCAGGTTGGCCTCAAACTCAGGGCAATCCTCGTGCCTTAGCCTTTTAAGTGCTGGGATCACAGGTGTGTGCCACCACCCCTGGCCAAAACAGGAGCTTCTAATGTTTTATGTGTTCTAAATTTTGCTGCTGAAGGCAGATTCCCAGTTGGGTGAATTGTATGGATGAAATACAGCACAGTTAGTACAATTAACAGTTAGTACTTGGACAGTACCCATTGCATTAATGCTGTGTTGACCTTGAAAGGCTTACATAATGGTTCCTGTTGGTGTCCTGGTTGGTTTTCAGAGGCCCCCCCCAGGGCCCTGCTGCCAAGTCTGTGCGGGCGTGGCAGTGTCTGGGACTCGGCAAACCCTCACTGGGTGTCTGGATTTGGAGTCTGTCTGGGATGTATTTGCCCCAAGGTCTGTGCTCTTCCTTGTGGCATTGCCCAAGCTGGGCCTCCCCTTTTCATCCTCCTGCCTCAGCTTCCTGATCTGCCAGGACTGAAAGACTTTGTGGATGGGATCTCACCTAATCAGACTTGTGACTCTCATCAGCAGCTTTGGTTCACCTCCAGAAAATAAACCTGTACCTTCGTTTACCATCTTTTCAAAACAAGATTTTGTATGTAGTGCAGGCTGGCCCAAACTCCGGGAGTCTCCTGCCTCAGCCTGCCAAGCGCTGAAATTGCAGTCCTGCGCCCCTACACCCAGTTTAAACCTGCACACTCTTGTCTGTGCTCTGGTCCCCTCCTCAAACCTCCCTAGCAGGTCTTAGAAGCCCAGCCCCGTGGCTCCCAGCATACTGCTCTGTCCTTTCCTCTGCCTGTATCACCTCCCCGCCCCTCACCCTCAGAGCTCGAGGCCCTGTCTGCTGAGGACACCCCATCCTGCTCCCTGTGTGTCCCGTGGCCTTGTGTGCCAGCTGTTTCCCTGCAGCACCATGGGCGCTTCACACCCCAGCCCTTTCTATGTTTTAATTTGAGACTGGATCTCACTGAGGCTCCAAGTTGCCAACACTGGGCTCCAAGCAGTGATCTTCCTGCTTTGGCCTCCCAGGTAGCTGGGACCACAGATGTGTGCCATTGTGTCTGGCTTTTAACTTTATTTCTTTTTTAATTTTAAAAAATGTTAAACGTACAGAAAGAACTAGAAAATAATGAGTACCCACAAACTCAGCATTCAGATCCGGTCGCTCCCATTCACCTAAGCTGTTTGTCCCTTCCTGACTGGCAGACACGGGGACACTGGATGTACTGAAGTCTTGGGTCTTTTAGAAATCAGAATGTTTTCTTATATAACTAAAGAAAATGAGTGAGAGTTTACTAGTATAAAATTCCAAACACATACCTAAACGTTTCCAGCACCCCAAGTTTCTCTCCTGCACCTCTGGTCCTCCCGTCTGGTCCGGGAAAAGCTGCCCTGTCACAGGTTGGCTCCCCTGTGCTGAGACCCCAGGCCTGGCTGCCCCAAGCCACCTGCCAGCCCACAAGCTCTGTGAAAGCTCAGTCCCTCCACCTCTGGGGCACCACCCCGCTATCCCTTGTGCAGTTCTTTAGCTTGTTCTTTGTGCACCGTGTTTCCTCCAAGTGTGAGCAGGAGCTAAGTCTCTGTGGGTCCAGGTCATCAGAGTGATGAGGGTGCTTTATAAATGGCATGCGAGTATTTGAGAGTGACCTGAAACGGTTCTTGGTCCGCTTGTCTTATGTTCATAGACCCCAGGGATCTGCTGACGACCCTGTGTAACTGCAGCTACCTAGCCAGCTCAGTGAAGGGCAGGCTCCTCTCCACCCAGGCTCCCCCATGACAGTCCAGAGTCCTCAGTGCTTCCCGGCCACAGCCCAGGGTCCGGCTTGCGCTGCCTGCCTTGCTGTTTGTCTACCACATGGCGATGTCATAAAACCTTAGTGCTTCTTTCTCTTTCTTTTTTTCTGTTTATTTAGGTTTTTGTTTTGTTTTGTTTTGTTTTTAAGCAGGTCTTGCTATGTAGTTCAGGCTGTCTTGGAATTTATTATGTAGGCCATGCTGGCCTGGAGCTCACAGTGGTCCTCCTGCCTCAGCCCCCGGAGTGCTGGGGTGATAGGTGTACACCCCCAGGCCTGGAGTTTTCCTTCTTAAAGCTGTACTGCAAAGCACCCACCTGCTCGTCATCAGTTGACTTCACTGTGTCTTCTGTTCCCTTCCTTTTCCCTCAGCCCCACCCATGACCTTGGCTTCATCATCAATTGATTGATTACCCAGTGGTATCTGGGGTGAAGGGATCAGAGATGAAAATCCCCCAAGATGCTCGTGCAGTGTGAAAAGGTCAATGGCAGTGACAAAAGTCCACCAGCCCTGGGATTCACTATGATTCTCATCTTAGGATCCGTCGTGGGACCACCAAGGAGCCCAGCCCTCTTCTTGGCCGGAGCGGTGAACACGGAAACAAGCCTGGATGATGAAGAGGAGACCAGGGGAGACCTGGATAACTATGAGCAGGCCAGCATCTGCGCCCCAGGGAAACTGGGTAGGCTGGCGTGCGCCCCTAGCCCTTAGCCTCCTCCTGACGACTTAATCTGGTGTGAGCAGCCCCAGAGGCAGGGTGGAAATTTAGACAGGATGCTTCCGGTTCTGCTTTTGTGTGTTAAGGCAGGTCTTGCTACATAGTTCAGGCTGGTGTTGAATTTGCTGTGTAGCCCAAGCTGGCCTTAAACTTGTGATCCTTGTGTCTCTGCCTGTCAAGTACTGGAGTCTAGGTGTGCACCTCAACATGCAGATTAAGAGGGGATATTCTTAATATAACAATCTTAACTTTTGCGGCAGTCGGGGTCCAAGCACGTCCTCGCTTAGTTCATTTAATCCTGGTAGTTTCGAGTGTGCATTCATACGAGGTGGCAGTGTTTGTCTTCACCTTTTCAATCACTGTGGTATGCGTCAGTGTCTGGCCACTGATGTCCGCAGCTGTAGGTCTCAGATGTCCTCACTCACACAGCAGGGCCTCCCCTTCATGAGAGAAGCTGATATGTGCACATTCTCGTGCTGCCTCAGAGCACCAGGCTTCTATGGGTTCTCTGTGGTTTTCTCTGTAACTGCTCTGTGACTTTGTCATTTGTTCTTTGACGTGAGCTGCTGTCTCACATGCTCCTGCCGGGAAAGCTTGGCCCGGGCAGCACCTTGGGATCGGGTCCTGCCTCTTTGACCCCAGTGGGTGGTTTCAGCTCTGTTGAGCTCCGGGTGGTTTCTGGTGAGGTCTCAGGAGGACCGAACACCTCTTGATGGTGGACGCAGGCTCCAAATGCTGTGTCGTGGGTCAGCTAACAGCTGTGTTTTGAATTTTCTTTTTGCACCAATGTAGCCACCCTAGCAGCCGGGTGCAGCATGCTGTCGCTGGTGCAGCTGGACGTGGCTACTGAGAGAACAAGCACCCTGTCCTCTCTGGAGCCCAAGAACCGTTTCAGTCTCCTGGCTGCATTCTCTGGGGTTAACAGGGGCTTCAGGAGATGCTGACTTCCCTGTGCATGGATGGCAGCTTCGGCTCAGATCCACGCAGCGGATGAGAAGCCGCTGCCTGACAAGACACTGGAACTGGTTAAGACCGGCACAGGCCCAGGCGCTCTGACATTTTGCATGTGATAGGATCCATAGCCATCTCGTGTGACCCAGCAAGCTGTTCTTAGGGCCTCCAGGAGCTTTCTGCAGACCCTGCTCCCGCTCAAGCCCAGCCTGTTGCCCTTGGCTGCTTGGTTGGGGAATTCAGGTGCTGTGTGTCCAGGCCCAGTTGTCGTTTGGGGCCAACCCAGCGGGTTCCGTGTCACTTTGACACGAGGCCCACAGCTGCCTCCGCAGGAGGCATGTGCTAGCCTGGTGGCAGCCGGGGGAAGGTGGACGTTGTTGCACTCTCTGCTGTTCACATGCACACAGGCGGACAGGGCAGTGGTAGCACGATGATGCCCGCCTGTTAGGGTACACGGAGCCCTGGCTAGGGTCACACAAAGACAGTGGGTGCTCTCCATCCGACGTGACCCTTTACAGTGACCTCACTTTCATGACAGTGATGTCACAGGAGCACCAATGTCCTGGTAAGCAGGTGTGACAAGAGGCTAGCGTGAGACCCAGGTTCTGTGACAGGAAGGCTCTCGCAGCTTGGAGTGAAAGCGGACATCCCTGTCCTCAGCCCCAGACTGGACAGATGCTTTCCCAGTGGGGCGGTGAAGGGATGGACAGTAAATCCACTCCCTGCGTGGCCTCACTGGGCTGAGCCGAATGCGTGCAGCCCGTGTGTACAGATGAGCCATCTACAGTTCAGGTCTCAGCCCCTCGCCGTTCCTTCCCTTCCGGCAGAAGCCTGTGGGTGATGGTGCTGCACTTCCCCTCACCCCAGCTGGGAGTCCCAGCTCCCACCCAGCTCCCTCCTTTCCCCTTCAACTCGAGGTTCTCTGCTCCTTGAGGGTTCAGTGGTAACATATGTTCCCCAGCGCATCACCCTTCTCTTCTGTCCAGAACGAGCCTCAGAGTCTCCAGAAAATGAGCCGAAGTCCAGATGGGAGAAACTGCTGGGCCCTGACTACGAGGTCATGGTGAGTGCGGCCTCCCTGTCCTGGGCACTGGCCCCGCAGGGCAGAGACCGGAGCTGAGCAGGGCCAAGCTGCCTCCTGTCTTCTTTCTTCTTTCCTTTCTTCCCCAGTGAGTCGATCAATTGATTTGTGAACATTTAAGTCGTAAGAACAGTTATGAAGCACACGTGAGCTCCAGCTACCGATAGCAGACGCTGGGTTCCCGTGGAGCCATTTAGCCCGGCCTCAGGCAGTGGAGTGGAGGGAGGCGGCCGCCTCTCCTGTGCCGCCTGGGTCCCTGCTCAAAGTCGCTGGCGTTTTTTGATTCCTTTTATGATCTGTTTGTTTCTCCGTGCATTGAAAGGGTAGTGGCTGTTAGTCCTGTGTTTCACAGAGAGATTTACAGTTTTATAAGACAAATGATGGAGAGACGATCAAGTGTATGTGAAGAACAGGAAGTAGCTGAGCTGAGGCACAGCTGTGGTGCAGGGCCCAGTCGCCTTCTTCCGCCTGCCCCAAAGCCGTCCAGTGAGGGGTCATGTAGGTCTCCCTGTGTGAACCCTGAGAAAGCCAGTGCTGTGTAAGTCATGACTGCCCACGAGTGTGCTGAAATCAAATGTCCCCCGATTGTGCTGTTGCCCGCATTTTCTTACCTGGTGCTTGCCATTAACACTGGCGGGCTGGCAAGAGACACTGCCTGCCCTTGGGTTTGAAGACCCAGCACTGTCTGTCCTCAGCACATTTCCGGTGTCAGTGCCAGCTGAGCCTGCGTGGCCCCTGCTTCCTGTTCCTGCTCATTCTGTCCTTGCATGCCGTCTGTCCACATGGCAGCCATCACTGGGCACTTGGCAAAGGGTCCCACTGCTGTCCTTAGTGGTTTGTTTTGTTTCGTTTTATTTTTGAAAACAGGATCTCATTATGTAGTTCAGTCTGGCCTTGAAATCACAGTGATCCTCCTGCTTCAGCCTCCTGAGTGCTGGGATTACACTTAGTGGTTTTGTTTTGTTTTGTTTTTTGTCTTTTGAGACAGGGTCTCGCTATGCAGTTCAGGCTGGCCTGGAGCTCACTTTGTAGCCCAGGCTTGTCTCAAACTTGCAACAATCCTCCTGCCTCAGCCTCCCAAATGCTGGAATTACCACGCCTGGCTTACACTTAGTGGTTCTGATAGTCAAGGAAATACAGGTGGTTCACCACCAGGTTCTTCTTTGCTGAAGTTTTGTCTTCCCCATAAGCATCTTTGCAGGGGTTTTTTGTCACATGGTGAGGTATAGCAAGGGAGCTAGAAAGAGGAGACAGGCTGTGAAGTTGAAACTTGAGGAGCCAGCGTGTTTATTGATTGCTGAGCAGTGCCAGGCAGAGCAGTGGCTCTGCCTTCGCCATCTGCAGGACCCACGTGACGGAACTTGGCGCTGCTGGGAGCTGAGGACCACGCGGTTCGCCGCCTGCCCCGCCCTGCACACGCATGTACGCCGCAGCGGCAGCCGTGAAGAGGGCGCCTTGGGCACCAGGCAGGACGCCTGCTCTGTGTCCAGGTTCCACGCCCGGCTGAGAAGCATGGGTTCCCCTGTGGGACAGGGTCTTGAGTTGGGGCTTGACCAGCTGCTCCCCAAAGAGGCCTGAACTCTCCAGGGAGGTCAGAGGCCACAGTTTCCCAACTCCAAGGACTTTCCTGACCTGCAGGTTTTGTTTAGGGCCTGGGTTTGAGAGCAGAGAGGTCACGGCCTTGTTTTGGTGCAGAGTGCAGTGGTTAAGGGTCTGGTGCCATCGAGGCCACAGTAGCTTTTAGGGAGCCTGGATTTCTGAGCAGACTTGAGTCTGCGCTCTGTCTACTGCCTCGGTGTTTGTGGGTCCCGATGCTCAGATCTAAGCAGATTCTCGAAAGACACTGAGTCTACACTGGACCCATGCGGACTCTCCCTGCCACCCCTCAGCACAGCCCTGCGCCTTTTTCTGTGGCATTTGTGGCCCATTAAGTGCTGTGAGTAACATGGATGGGATGGGAGTGTGTGAGAGGCTGTGTGGGGCCTGTGTGACTGACCGGCTTGAACAGACTGTGGCTTGTTTCCCGGGGGATCCTGACACCAATCCCAGATATTGCAAGTACTGCTTTGAGATAAATCAGGGGAAGAAATTGATGTGGAGAACCACAAAAACCCAAATATCCTCAGAACTTTTACGTTAGGTGCCACATGTACCCATTTCAGAGCCGTTAGGGAAGTTTTCAGTAGACACAGCAGTGCCCAGGTTTCGCAGGTGTTTCCAGGGACCCTCGGCAGACACGGGATCATGTGTGTCTTTCTCTGTGTTTAGGTCGCCACTCTGGACCCACAGATTGTTGATGACGCTGAGCTGCAGAAGTACTCAAAGGTAAGCACTTTAAATTCCTGCAAAGGACTCTCTCTCGGTGAGTACCAGGACATAGGCCAGGTGATTACTGGAGGCGTGAACTGGGAACCCCAGGACCGCAGGAGCCCCGTCACTTCCAGAAGCTCCAAGCTCAGGAGTGACCCTCTGTCTGCCTCAGAGGGAGCAAGAAGGGTGATGGGCAGAGTTTCCTAAAAGTCAAGACAGTGTTGCAGACCCCAGAGACGCCTCAGGTCGGGACAGGCAGGACAGCGAAAGCACGAGCGGTGGTCGCAGTGGTTGTTCTCAGTTTAAAAAGTTTCTGATCCTCTTTGTTTCTAATGGAAAAATGCAGGAAAATCACTTCCACAGTTCTAGACGGTTTTAGTGTTCTCATACTACATACTATCTTTGTTACATATTTCTGTTCTGGAGAATCAAGGCCAGGGTAGATGAGCCTTGAAGACTTCTCGACAGCTTCTCGGCAGGTGATAGACAGGAAAGATTGATTTTCCTGCCAGAGCAGATTGAGCCATCGAGGGCATAAGAACCGAGCCTTCCTCAAACTCCGCCCTCACTCATGAGGCTCAGAGCGAGGCTCTGTGAATATCTCTCCTTCCAGTGCCCGCTGGCTCCCCTCTTTTTTGCCCTCTCGTGCTTGTTTGCCTTGCCTGTTGGCTTTCTTCTGCTGGGGTTCATGGAGTTGTGGTCCTTGAGATCTCTTTATAGGATGTTCTTGAAAACATTTTGGAGTAAATTTCCTCAGATTCCCTTTGTCATGGAAGTATCTTAGTTATGGAAGTATCTTAGTTCTCCGTCAGTTTTGAAAGATAGTTTTGTGGGATACATCAATCTGGGTTGAAGGTTGTTTTCCTTTAAACTTTAAAATACTTAGCTGGGCGTGGTGGCTCATGTCTGTAATCCCAGCACTCGGGAGGCTGAGGCAGGAGGATCAATGCGAGTTCAAGACCAACCTGGGCTACAAAGTGAGCTCAAGGCCAGCCTGAACTGCATAGTGAGAGACTGTGTCTCAAAAAGACAAAAAGACCCCTTAAAATACTTCACTCCAAGCTCTTCTTGACTTGAAGTTTTGTGCTAAGAAGTCAGCTATGATTCTGATGGACTTTCCTTTCGGGGTGCTTTGTTTCTTTTCCCTAAGACCTATTTTTTTTTTCTTTTGTCTTTTTGAGATAGGGTCTCACTGTGCAATTCAGGCTGGCCTTAAACTCACTTTGTATCCCAGGCTGACCTCAAACTCACAGTAATCCTCCTGCCTCAGCCTCCTGAGTGCTGGGATTATAGGTGTTCCTAAAAGGTTTTAAGGTTGTGTTTTTGTGTTCAGTTTCTGGAATCTTGAGTATGAAACACCTGGCTGTAGGTTTATGTTTGTTTGTTTTGTTGTTTTTGATCATAGTTAATTTGAGTTTATTTGCCTCAGTTTTCTGTATGTCACATTCTTTTTGTCTGCCAGGGGACTTTTCTGCTGTAACGTCTATGAGCAGGTTTTTATGTCATTTGCGCTGCTTTTTCATTGATTCCAGTCAATCTTTAAAGTTATTTTTTGCCTCATCCAGCCACTGCTGGGTTGATTTCTCATGGTCTGCTGCTCAAAGATTTTTGAGAAGTCTTTTGTTTTCATGATCACTAACTGCAAACCTGTCTTCAGTATCTGAGCCCCTCTCCTCACACTGGCCTCATCTGCTTTGAAAACTTTAAGCAGAGTTTTATTCTCCTGGTGATATCTGCTTGAACATGCTTCATGGATTCCATTTCTTTTCTATGCTTTTCTATGCTTTCTTTTCTATAATTCCGTAATTTTCTTAACCCTGTCTTTTTTTTTTGTCTGTGTCTGCTCTAGCATCACTGAGCATGGTGTGTATTTTGGTAAACTCTGCAGTTATCTGAGAGATTATTTCTGATTTCATTTTTTCCAGCGTCTCATTCATCTACCTTGTTGTTACCACTTTAGAGAGGTCTGGTGTGAGCTTTCAGATTGTCCCCCTCACTGCCCCTGGATTTGCCTTGGTGATGCCTACATGTCTGGATGTCTGGGGTTGCATCTTGTTTCAGTGTAATTCCTGGGGTGATGCTTGTGGACTGAGTGCAGTGGGTTGCTTTGTTGCTGGTGTTTAGGACTCTTAGGCAGTAGCTGCTTCTCCGAGGTTTCTTCCAGGCGTAGCTGGTTTTGGAGTTCTGAGTCTGTTGAAGGATCCTACCTGCTCACTTTGTTGGCGATGAGAAGCTGCTGCTTGCTCGGCCCAGTCCCTGGCTGTCTGGCACTGTGCCGCCGTACTTTTTGTAACCCTCATCCAATCTCAGACATGGAATACCAGGACAAAGAGCTGTGCAGAGCAACTGTGTCACTTTTGGCTATGTGATAGCAGTGTCAACAAACATAGCCTAGAATGTGACAAACTGAGCTGTCAATTAAGTTGTCATTTTTAACTGTGTGAACTAGATTTGTGATTATGTAACAAAATCTAAAATGAGCCAACATACAAGTCCTCAATTAAGGAAAAACTAGAGAAGTGGAAGAAAAGGAACAGATGAGAAGTAAGGTTGAAGGACAAAGGGGCATCACACTGACTTTGGGAGACTGGTGCAAAAGACTAGAGGGAAAGTGAAGAAAGAGATAAAAAGAAGAACAGAGCCGCCACCACAAAGAGGCTAGAAACCACATAAAAACAAGATCAGACAACGAAGGAGAGAAAAAAGAAAACAAAATAAAAAATAAAACCACCACAACAAAAATGAATGACAAAGAAAAAAAGTCGACTTCCAGGTTTGTCTCTGCTGTCACCGATAGACATGTGGACCCAGCAAACCAGCAGCAGCTGTTTTATTCCTGCGGTGGTGGAGAATCTTACTCAGGCTGCACTTGCTGGCAAGTCAGACTTTCTCAGCTTGCAGCTGTCCAAGCACATCCCAGGGGTCTGAGCACAGCTGGAGCCACCAGATGGAGTTCTGAGCCCAGCTGGCCCCTCTCCAGATGGTGCCTGGCTAATTAGCTGCTGTCTCTGTGGGACTACTGAGCCCTCAGCACTCACCACCAGGTAGTACTGTCTTTTACATCTGCTGCTCCTCTCCATTGCCGCATCTCTGTAAAGGCCTCCAGGGTCACCAGCTGTCACGGTCACTGTGTGTCTGCAGGTTCGAACCACTCCTTTTGTGTGGTGAGTCCCAGCTCGGGAAGAAGGTACTGCTGGCTGCCTCCTCCTCCTTCACTGAAGTTTGTCTTTTCACTCTCCCTATGGACTCCAATTCACACTTAAGATTCTTCCAGGACCCTCTTTCCTGTCTTCCTTGTGCTCCTCTGTGTGGACGGTGACTCTCCAAGAGGCTCTCTCTCTGCTGCTTACCACTCTGCCATCTTGGTGCTCCTCCTGGATCTTGTTTCTTGATCTAGTCTGGCAGTTTTTTTATTTTGATTGGTGAATTGAGACTATTAGCTTTGATGGTTATAACTGAGATGTATTGGCTTATGCTTGTCATGTTGTTTTCCTGTTGTTGATTTTCTTTTTCTTCAGCCTTCAGCTTCTTTAATTACTTGCCTTGCCTGGTGGATCCCTCCTTTTTGGATTCCTGGATTTGTAGTCCTCATTATCTCTTTCTAGAATGTCCTACTGAACATTTTACAGTATGGTGTTGTAGTCATGAATTTCCAAAGGTGTTCTTTGTCTTGGAAGTGTCTTATTTCTCCATCAGTTTTGAAAGACAATTTTTTGGGGTACATCAATCTGAGCTGGAGGTTGTTTTCTTTTGAGGCTTGAAATAATTCATTCCAAGCTGTCCTTGAGTTGAGGGTTTGTGCTGAGAAGTCTGCTGTGATGTGGTGATAGGGTTTGCATTAGCTGATTTCTTTTCTCTAGCAGGCTTAAATACTCTGTTGTTGTGCTGAATTTCTGGAATCTTGACTATGCTATGGCTTGGTGTAGTTTCTTTCTTTTCTCATGCCTAATTGGAGTTCTGTATGTGTTAATTATCTATACGTCAAATTCTTTTCCCCTGATTGAGAGGTTTCTGCCCTTACTGTGAACAGGTTACTTTTGTCATTTGTGCTATCTTCTGCTTTTTCATTGATTCCTATCAAACTTTGGTTATTCTTCTTTGCATCAGACAGCAGGTGTTGGATTGATTTTTTTTTTTTGTAGTCTCTTGCTACTTTTAAGAAATCGCTCTTTTCATGATCACTAACTGCAATCCTGTCTTCTAGATCTGATATTCTGTCCTCACATCGGCTCATCCTGCTGAATACATTTTCAGTGGAATTTTTAATATCCTGGATATCTGTTTGGATTTATTTCATTGGTTTCCATATCTTTCCTTTGTTGGGTGTTCATGATTACTGTAATTTTCCTAAGCTCCTCTATTTTTTGAATTTTATCTGTATCTGCTCTAGAATCACTAATTGTGTCTTTCATGATGGTTACCATCTGTCTTGTTATCTGATAAACTATTTCCAGTTTGATTATTTCTAGGGCCTCATTAATCTGCTTTATTACGTCTGTTATAACTTCAGAGGGTCCAAATTCAGACTTTTGAATTGTTTCACTTCATTACCTCCTGTGTTTGCCAAGCTGGAAGTTCAGGGTTCCATCTTATTTCCATGTCTTCTCATTTTCTAGTTTTGAAAATTTAATTCCCAAGTTGGTGCTAGTAAGTTGCTTATGGTTGGTAACTTTATCACTAGTATTGAGAACCCTTAGGAAGTGTCTGCTTCTCAGAGATGTCTTCTAGATAAGCTGGCTTTGAGATTTTGAGTGTGTTGCAAGATCCTACCTCTTCTGTTTATTGGGGATTACATGTTGCTCCATATTTGACCTAACCCCTGAATTTTTGGTACTGGCCTGGATTTCAGTGACCAGATTCAAGCGGTGCTTGCCACACGTCAGAGTGACCCCTGCTGGAAACTGAGCAGGTGAGTGTGTCCTCGTCACGTTGATGCCGTGGCTTTGTGTGTTGCTGCAGCTGCTGCCGATCCACACACTGAGGCTGGGCATGGAAGTGGACTCCTTTGATGGTCACCACTACATCTCTTCCATTGTTCCTGGAGGGCCCGTGGATACCCTGAACCTCCTGCAGCCAGAAGATGAGCTTCTCGAGGTAAGATATATGGAGGAAGACAGATGCCAGGCGGAACACGTGTCCACTGAGTTATAAGTGTCACCGACGCCAGCAGAGTGTCAGCCACTTGGATTAGAAACACTAACAGCTTACATGTGGCAAGGGAAGAGGGTGCCACACTGTCAGGCCCTGTCCTGATCTGCTGAGGTTCCTGACGTGTTCTAGTGAGTGCTTATTGTAAGGATAGACTAAGAAGCCTGATAGCTTCATTTCTGTTTTTCTTTACAAAGGATGTAATCCCTGACCCTTGTTTACACAATGTGGTCACGCTGACTATGGTTCTGCGGATTATTTCTAACAAGGCTTGAGCTGAGTGACTCCAGGCTTCTGTCTAGTGGATGTTACTCTTCAGATTGTCCCCTGGAAGTGGGCTTTCACTGGGGTAGACTCCATCAGAGCACTGCCAGGGCTCATCTGCTGTCAAGGACTTGTCTTACTTTTCTTCTTGCTGAGACAAAAATAGCCAGTACCCAAAGTTAAAGGAAGCAAAGTGTTTCGTTTAGCTCACAGTTCATAGAAGTTCCAGTCCATAGTAGCTGGTGCCAATGCAGAGCAGCACAGTGCAGGGCCATCGCGTAGAGGAACAATTCCTGGCAGGGCAGGCAGGAGGCAGCAGGCTGCAAGCAGCAGTAGCCTCCCTTTCCCTCTTATCCCATCTAGGGTACCTGCTTTCTGGGTGGAACTTCCTACATCCAGGTTGGGCCTTCCTATTATCCACACCCAGACATGTGATAAACCAATCACTGGACTAATTCAGTACTGTCCATCCTTATCCTGGTATCACACCCCACGATCCAGCCACCTCCATAAGGCCATCTATGAGTGCCTAAGGCTCTGAGGGGACAGCTAGGTAGAAGACAAAACAGGGCTTTCTCAGGAGACTGTGACACTGGAAAATTTCATTGGGAGCCAGGAAAAAAATAAAAGAGCACTGAAACTTCTGCTTCTAGGATGAGAAAATAGGACTTCGATTTCTGCAAATCTATGCACTGAATTAGTGATAGATGAAACTGTCAGCCCATGTTCCCTAATTCCCATCTTACTATTTTTCCCAAAACATTCTACTCCTGGAGCCCCATTAGTTATACTGCCCTGGCTGCCTCGATATCTTGAATTCATTCAAAATGTCTACTTTTCATGGTGACCTCGACTTCCGGACGAGCCAGAGGTCTGAGAGCGTCGGATGTGGCGAATAGTGGGCAACACCATGTTCGCCCGAGCTGCCACACTCACCGTGCTTTGATTGCACCTTGTAGAGACACACAGGAAAGGGATTGCAGGGAGCTGTGAAAGTGGCAAGGTCAGCAGGGGGCATGTGTGGGCAGAGGGTTTCAGAGGGATTAACAGCAGTGTGTCCATACTAAGTAGTGTGCGGGGGAAGTTTCTGTCTCCTCAAACCCCATTGTGGAGGCACGAGTAGAACCAAGTAGTTCACTGATGTCTCGGACGGGAAAGCAGATAACGTGAGGCTCACGGTTCTAGCTTTCTAGCGTAAAGCTGAGCGGCGTGCAGCTTGTTCACTGGCTGGTGTTACAGGATCCCTGGCTGGGTGGGAGTAGAGCAAGTGTAGGTGACCCCAGCCTCAACGGGGTTCCCCACTGCACCCAGGAGGAGAGGCAGGAGGAGGACGACCAGCTCTGCTGCACAGGAACAAGAAAGGAGCTGAGTAAATAGCTAAAGACAAAAACCCTTTTTAGTGCCCGCCATCTGTTGCATGTGCGCGGCACCGTGTGGTTCACTTTGGGGCTGCAGGGGCTCTGCTGTCTGTGGCGGTGGCCCAGGTGTTGCTGGGCCAGGCCTCCCTGACTGTTTTGTGTGTGGTCACTCTGCAGGTCCTCCAAGGAGGGCCTTCGTGTGCTATGGACTTCCTGGCATGGGTCCCCACACAGTCCCGCTGGGACTGAAGTGTGATCATCACATGCCCAGGCGGCTCAAGGACTCAGCCAGTGCTGGTTTCTTTGTGAATAATGAGGAGCCCAGGCTGTGTGTGACCCAATGACTGAGTGCGGCCTGTGACAGGCTTCGGTGCCTCAGAGACAGCAGGGCCCCAATTCCCACTTACGGCAACTGCAAACTCAGTTCCACTGTGTGAGATCCAGGACACTACTTCCCAGACAGCCAGCTCTGTGGGCAGCGGGGCATCAGTGCTGTCCAGCTGGGGGGGGAAGGAAGCAGCTAAGGCTGCTGTTCTGCCCCCAGGTGGGACAGCTCAGGGGAAGGATCTGTGCCCTGAGCAGGGGAGTGGACAGATCAGCCTCCGGGGGCCCGGAGCTAAGGGCACACACGCAACAAGTGGGGGGGGGGTGTCTTGCCTGTATCTTGTGCCACACAGATCTGCAAATGGATGAGTTTTGGTGGAAAAGGTGAATCATTACCAAAGAATCTTTGTGAAACACAAGCTCTTGTGCACAGTAACTTGAGGGTAGCACACTTGCTGTGGACACACAATGGCCGCGTCAGCACAGCTCACAGGAGTGGAGCCTATGTGTTAGGTGTGTTCCTTCTCAGTGGTGGCTCCTGCATGGGATGCCATGGGACCCTCAGTGTGGGCACTGGCACAGAAGACACGGTTTTCCACAGCCCTGAGCCCAGAGCTGGCATCTGTAGCCAAGCTCAAGGGCAGTGCAAAGGCTAAGAAGAGTCAGCAGGGTGTGCATGCATGTGTGTATGTGTGTGAGGCATGTGTGTGAGTACCAGGCATGCAGTGTGCATACCAGGTGTGCAGTATTTATACCAGGCATGCAGTGTGAGTACCAGGCATGCAGTGTGTGTACCAGGCGTGCAGTGTGCATACCAGGCATGCAGTGTGTGTACCAGGCGTGCAGTGTGCGTACCTGGCGTGCACCGTGCTTAGCTGGCGGGCAGCGTGCGTACCAGGCAGGCAGCGCCACTCTGCAGATGTTGGTGGAGCGGGTCAGAAACAGTCCTGGGAAAGCCAGGGGAGAAACCACAAGATGCTTGAGATGTTAGGGAGGTCAGGTGCTCTCAGCTCCTTTCTCCACGCACTTTATTCTTTCTCCACCTGAATTCAGTGATGATTCAGCCTTAATTTTGAGGGTTTGGAACATTTTGAGTAACTACTATGATAATGCAGTTAAACAGACCCGCGTTCAGAGGAGAACAAGACTGTATCCTGTGTTTGTTTTGGAGATGGCACAAGTTTGCCCGTCTCCCTGGTCTCCTCAGTGCTGACCTTCTCCCCAGGTGAACGGCGTACAGCTTTTTGGGAAGTCCCGGCGGGAAGCAGTCTCCTTCCTGAAGGAGGTGCCACCCCCCTTCACTCTGGTCTGCTGCCGGCGGCTGTTTGATGATGAGGCCTCTGTAGATGATGAGCCCAGGACCGCTGACACCTCTGCTCCTGAGATGCAGGTACCAGCTGGCTGGACGTGACCCGGGGACGTAGGGAGGGGTGGTGTGGCAGGGAGAGGGAGCCCCTGGGCCATTTCATCTGAAGGACACAGTGATGTGTCCCCCAAGTACTTTCCACTCAGTGCCCTGCAGCTGTCTTTCCTCGAAATGCTGGACATGGATGTGCTGCGCTTTGAATCTAGAGAGCAGTTGAGGAACTGCTTGCATCGCCTGCTTTGGTGGCTAGTATGGTGCGCTCACCTTGGTATGGTTAACGTGTTAGTGGGAGCAGGAGGCCTGAGCGTTTCCCTTTCTCAGCCTGAGGACCTGTGACCAGTTCCCCAGGGGGTCTGTATGGTCCTGGAGAAGCTGGAGACGGCATCCTGCGAGGCGTGACTGCAGGGTGGAGGGGGCGCAGTCTGCTCTCGGACTCTTCGTCTACAAGCACAGGAACCAGAGTTTTGTGGACACTTCGTCGTGTTTTACGCCGCTATCCTCCTCCCCACAACCTTGACTTTCAAGTCTGCCCACCCCGGTTGGATGCTGGAGTCTCCTTTACCTGCCCAGGAGGGTTTCAGCTTCGCTGACCTTCACCCCACTTCTGCCACCTGCAACCGTGAATCCGTGGGCAGGGACCTGGATTTCCGTGGTACCGTAGTGGTTGTGTGTGGAGCGCAGTGCTCTGTGAGGGTCAGCAGTGTCTCCCTGCTTCCCTGCTGTGCCTGCGTGGTTCTCACTCCTCAAGTTCCTTGGGGCCGACTCCTGGGCCTCCGCATGCAGAGGCCTTGCCCCTCCAGGATCACTGGCAGTGCCTCGGACTGAGGCCGTCTGCTGTAAACACGAGAGCTGGCAACCCAATTCCACCAGAGTGATGTATTTCAGGTCGGAGCGTAGTATCTTACACACCCCGGGGAGTTCCTTGACATTTCTGTAAATTGCTGCTGCTGCTGCTTCTCCTCATTATTATTATTATTGTAATTACTTGTGGTTTCTTAAAACCCTGGCTCTCTTCTCCTTCAGTCTTTTTATTTAGCCTGAGAGTGTCTTGTGTCTCGAGCTCGGGCAGGTTCAGGGCTCAGCCCGCCTACCCCTCATTCATCAGCGAGGGCACTGAGCTGCCAGGAAAGCACCGGCTCGTGGCATCAGCCTTTGGAACTTTCTCCTTGTTGGAAGATTGTTTGCTCTTTCAGTACATCTCTTGCTCACATCTGGCTGAAAACCCAGAGGTTATTGATCTAGAACATTCGGCTTATTTCTTTCTTTCTTTCTTTCTTTCTTTTTTCAATCGGTACCGGGGATTGAACTCACGACTGCCTGCTTGCAAGGCAGGCGCTTATGCCACTGAGCTAAATCCCCAGCTTATTTCATTCAGGTCTTATAATTCAAGAGCCTAGAAACCCATCTCGTACTTAGATTTAGTTCACAGGAGAGTGGGTGTTGATCTCCTGTGTCCAGCCACACCAGCTTGACATCCAGGCCAGCCTTGCTTGGAAGTGTTTTTGTGCAGTCTGGGTGCCTTGTGCTCCCGCAGTACAGGGAGAGCCCCTCCGAAATTCACCCAGGGACTTTTCTGATAGAGGCTGCTCATGATTGTGACTCCAGGAGACAGCGTTTGCATTTCGTGAACTGAGGTTACACAGTTTAAAGAAGTCTGCTTTTAAAAACTATCTTTTTAAGAGAAACACTGAAAAGTTGATAATTGACTGAAGTCCTGAACAGACGATTCTGGGAGCTTTAAGGGCAGCGTGGCAGGGAAGTCTGGCCTGCTCTACAGTGGGCCCACCCACTTTTCCCAAGGCCAGAGCCAGCATGGTGAGCAGCTGAGGGGAGAAAAGAAGAAAGGTGCTCTTGAGTTTCGTGTAGGTCAGAGCATCCGGGGAAGACAGGTCAGATGAAAATGCCGCACCGCGAACCATGTGAAAGCGGAAGGGTGTGGAGGTGCTGTTGTCCTGTGCCCATGGCCCCAGCCCTGTGGCTGTCTCCCGGCTCTTGGTCATGCAGGGGGCAGGACCGAGGTCAGGGACCCTAGGACTGGGGGATCTCGGGGCTCAAACTCAGGAGAAAAGCCCAGAAAGGTGCACTGCACAGTTGGGTAGCTGTTTCCTCCAGGACCCTATTTTATGACTTTGACTCAGTGATTTTTACCCCTTTTGGGGGTTACATAGTGCCCGAGGAATTGGAGTTTTTTCACTTCATTTTTCCAGTAAAGATTTTGGAAAACTCTTTGGAGTCTAAAGACGTAGTTTCTCTGTGTCCTGTTCTGCCTGTCTGTGTAATGGTAATTTCCATCATTGTGATTGTGAGTCCAGATATTGTTTTTAAATATCTTATGCACTTCTACTTTGTATGATGTTTCTAATTCTACTTAAATTGCATATCTTTCCTTTTATGCTTCTAATGGGATGAAAGACCTCATTGAAGTATAAGAGGTCAGTGCTAATACTTTTAATGAAACATGTACTTTGCATTTTTAAAAAGCCTGTGTGAACAATTAGCATTTTTAAATGTTTGGAGTTTCATAGAAACCTTGTCACGACTGTTTAGGCCTCAGTGCATGGTGCTTTTAACAAGACCATAAAGAAAAACTGCATGCCAAAGAGAATGCCCTGGTTTGCGAAGAAGCTCTGAGACTCTGCGTGCTTTCATTCTTTTGAGAACGGGGGGACGGTTCTGAGGCTTTTCTCCTTGGTGTTCCAGGTCGAGCAGAGTGTTGATGCCAATACCGAAGAGGACGATGACGGAGAACTAGCCCTGTGGTCTCCGGAAGTCAAGATTGTCGAGCTGGTGAAAGATCATAAAGGCTTAGGATTCAGCATTCTGGATTACCAGGTAGAAGAACCCATGTGAGGGTTTTCTGTTTGTTTTTGTTTTGTTGGAGGGATTGGCTTATGTTAAAGCTATATGAAGAAGTAATTGGTTTTTTATTTTATTTTTTGTCTTTCGTTTTTATTGGTACCAGAGATAGAACTCACGACCGCACACTTGCATGGGAGTGCTTATGTCGCTGAGCTAAATCCCCAGCCCCAAGAAGTACTTGTTTAAGGCACCCATTGACTTACGCAAAAGTGAATCCCAAAGAAGGGATATTATATTTCTTCTGTTGTTAGCTTTAAAATTAGTAGCTCTGGGTGCTGGGGATGTAGCTCAGCGGCACGGTGACTGCCTGGCAAGTGTAAGGTCCTGAGTTTGATTCCCAGTACCTACAAAAAAGCAAAAAACAAAACAAAACTACAATAATAGTAGTAGCTCTGAAGTAATTTGCACTAAGCCAGCAGCTGTAGTAGCTGCAGTTTCATCTCAAGCTGCACGATGTTTCCCTCGGCCAGCAGCGCAGTAAGTCTCCTTCCAGCCCCAAGCATTCCTCAGATGGCAGCGAGGCAGAGCCACCGGGATGCACACCCGATCTCCTGGCAGATGTGGCGGCGGGTGTTGGTTGGTAGAGGCACACTCTGTACCGTCCTGTGGACACATCAGCAACACGAATCAGGGCACAGTGGAGCCTTTCCCCTGTTGGAGAGTTACCAGAGGGGAGGAGAGATCAGTACTCATGCCAGCTGGTGTAACACAGCTAAACTGTTTCAAAAGCAAATCACAACTGATGCCAAGTAAGAGCGCTGTATGTCCATTAGAATATGGTATATTGAAGAAATAAAGTACAACTGAAACCTTAAATAAAATAAAACTGGTAGCTCTTAGTGACCACAGTGTTGGATGACATAAGAACCAGACAGTACAGAAAGTGACAGTTTTATGTTGTCTGGGGAGCAATCTGTGAGACTTTAGAGAAGAGAGCTCTATGGGTGTTTTAAAGTGGGGGCCCCTAGCTTTCCTGAGATACATTTCGCCTGCATAAGGGGATTTTAGTGTATTTGTGAGTTGTGCAACCATCTCCTTGGCTTCTTTGTTTTGTTTTATAGAGACAGGGTCTCACTATGTAGCCCAGACTGGCCTCAAACTTGCCATAATCCTCATACCTCAGCCTCTCAAGTGCAGGAATTACAGGCGTGCGCCAGCACATTTGGCATAGCACCAAGTCTAGGATATGCTCAGCACCCCCAGAAGCAACCCCATGCACATTAACAGTCACCCCCAATATCTGCGCCCCTTCCTTCCCTTTGTGTGAGGTTTTTGTGGCTTTGCTCACTTGTTAATGTCAATGAATTTAAGCAAATAGAACTGTTCTTGGTGAAATTGTGTTTACATGGATCCTAAGATCCGGCACCTGTACAGTTGCGGTTGTAACTCGGGCAAAACTCCTGACCCATTAGGGGCCACACAGGGGCACAGCACACGCCACCCTGGTTCACCAGTCACTGTCACGTTTTTAGGCCGCTGGTGATTTGGGGGAATAAAACTGTTGGCCCGAAATCTCCCCTTCACATGCACATTTCAGGATTTTAGTGCTGCCTGGGCTCACCATGGCTTAATAAAGCAGAATGTACTTTATCAAAGCACATAAAATGCCAAGCAGCATAAACATCAATTTTTAAAAATATAATAAGGCAATTGGGAACAGATGAAAAGAAAATCATTTTGATCGTTATGTAAGAACATTGAATTCTATGTTTCGGCAGTGCGACTCAAAATTACTAAAATAAAATAAATGGCATGTATTTCACTTTTGCTGGCATATGCCTGTGCCAAACAGCCTCTCTTTTATAGTAACTTGTCTTTGGACTATTACTGAATTACAAGTTGTTGATTCCAAAAGAGTGTTTTGGGAAACATTTTTATCAAGAAATACCAATACTGTCAGACTCCGGGAGCTGGGACGGTGAGTGGTAAGGCCTCTGAAGGGATGGCAGAGCCTTTGTTCCTCCCATTGTGTAGCATTAGTACCTGGCAATAGTAACTAATAAATATTTGCAGAATTTGGGCACTTCAGCTGCCTAAAATTAACTAAAATTAAATGAACACATTCAATGGGAGTTTGTCAAGCTTTTTACTACTTGAGTTTTAACACCGTCAAGATACAGTCTTAGATATTCAGCTGCTTTTCCACTATCTTGTGTGCACACACACACACACACACACACACACACACACATAAAACATAAAGCTTTTTGAGGTACGGCTTTGCTGTGTAGTCCGAGCTGGCCTTGGCCATGAATGAATCTCCTGTGTACTGTCAGCTGGACTTGAACTTGCAGCCCTCCTGCCTCAGCCTCCTGACTCGTGGCTTTACAGGTTTGTGCCAGTGTGAGCCACACACCAGGCTCTGGCTCACCTTCTTCTGCAGTAAGTGTGTGCCACGCAGTGTTTGTGCTCCCAGTGACATCACCTGCAGCGTCACATTTTGAATATTATAGTGTTATAGCAGAGAAGGACCTCAGGACGTAAAGCCTCAGGAAAGGTGGAAAGAGTAACTTTGTGGAGAGCTGGCAGGATTCTGCACGTCTGCCTCGTCTTGTGTCAGCGATGGTGATGGTGTGGGCTGTGTGGGTAGGGAAGTAGGAGGCGTTCACTTACTGTGGAAATGTGATTTTACCCATCGTCCCATTTAGAAATTAAATGCAAACATTTCTGATGCCATCCCCACAGATGGGCCGTCCTGCAGAGTGTTCCTCTGGTCTCCCCTTTCACAGCCCACTTGGAGCAGGAAGATGCACAGGTGGAACCCTTGTTCGGTGGCATCTGAGCCTCCTGTGGAGTCACGTCCCCCAGGGGTGCAGCGCCTGACGAGCCTTGCGTGCGTTACCCAGTTATGGGTCACTGCAGAAGTTTGCGTTTTCCATAGTGGGCTGAACTGTGGGAAAATGAGAGTGAGCAGATGCAGGGGCTTGAGCCGGCCCAGGATACATGGTGTGGCTGCCTTGTCAGGCCTGGGGTGCTAAGGGCTGGGGACATCCTGTAACTGAGCAGAGAGCAGAGCTGGATTTGCTGCCGGAAGTGAAGGAGTTTGGCTGCTACAGAGTTCTAGAAGTCAGTCACATAGTCAATGTGGAGAAATTCAAAAGGCATCTGAAATTAGATTGGGGTAAAGGAAAATGACCAGCAGAAGAGAGAGAAGCTGTAGATTGAGACTCTAATTTCTCTGTAGGCCTAGGGTCAGGTGAAAGTAGCTTTTGTTGGCCCTGATTTGAATGGAGGAAGAAGCAATACCGGTCAGTCTCAAATGTCGTAGACATGGTGGGAAATTCACTGCTTTCGCTGTGACTTGGAACCTCACTGAGAAGGGGGAGGGTATAACTGATGGTGAGCGTTACCTGCAGCCGATCCTGGCCCTGGCCGATCCTGGCTGTGTGCGGGCGCCCTAGCCCACTCACCAGTGTCCTGGCGCACTTTCTTACCAGGTTGCACTTGACTCATCTTCATTTAAGAAGTGAGGAAACTGAGGCACAGCGAAGTTAAGTCTCAGTTCAAATTCACGCAAATAAAATTAGAGGTGGAGCTGCAGCCGCTGCGAGACCCCAGGCCTCAATCCTGCAGCCGTAAGGCCGCACTGCGTCTTTATTGGCCAGGGGCGTTTCCATGTGCAGTTTATTACCAGCTGCCCTCGGTAAATTTATTACAGCAGATCTTCCCGATTCTGTAGCTTTGAAAAATTTCCCATTTTAAAAACTAAGGTGCTTGGTAGTATTCTCGTCTTAGCGCTTAGATAAAAGTCCAGCATTTATTAAATGTTATTAATACAGTGTGCTCATATGCACTGTGTAAAGGCTAGCGTTTATTGCTTTAGAAGAAAATAACAGCGAGTGGAAGAACCCTAAGTTTGTGCAGGTAATTTGTTGTGGACTGACGTTCAGTAATGAAACAGTCATGAGGGAACCTGAGTGTGATTTTTAATTTCTACCAAAAAAGCTTGAAAAAGTTTAAACTATATGGATTTTACCTTCAGTTAACCTTATAAATTAAGCATGGCAAGTAGATATTTATGTATGTTGAACTGTGAATAACCCCTCAGGGTTATAATTCACGGGAAATGTGTGACATTGGCCAATTTTTGAACAGTAGCCATGATAGTGCCACCCCTGGTACTTCGGAATTTCAGTGATTTAGAAGGTAAAATTTATTAAGCAATAACTCACCTCTCTCCCACACCTATTCCTCATTTCCCTTCTCTCCTGACTCCACATTTGCTAAAGCAATGGTTTCAAAGACTTTGGGTATGGCTCAGACAGTGAGAACAGTAGAAACAGCTCGGGAGCACCGCCGCTGAGCGGTGATTTGTATGCAGATACTGCTGGGAGCACCTTCAGGGTTTCCAGGTCCAAAGGCAAAGCATGGCAAATTAAAAAGAGAATAGTGGGAATGTTCCTTTGTATGAAAATGAAGTTTTATTTCTAAAATAAAACCAATGGGTTGTAACATCAAAATAGAATACATGTGAACTATGTGGTGTTCCTGAGGATTGGGGTGTGGTACTGTGTGGCTATAATTTGTGAGAAACACTTGCTGCACAGTTTTGGCTCTTGGCTCTTGGGGTTTTGGGGTGTGTGTGTATGTGTGTGTGTGTGTGTGCTGGAGAACATACTCAGGGCTTTGAGTTTGATGGGCAGGTCAGTCTTTTTTTAAACTTTTAGGAGGAGATTATATAAATCTCATATATCTTAAAATTCGCCTTCTTTCTTTTCTTTTCTTTCTTTTTTGTCTTTCGAGACAGGATCTCACTGCAATTTAGGCTGGCCTTGAGCTCACTTTGTAGTTCAGGGTGGCCTTGAACTCTCAGCAATGGTCCTGCCTCAGCCTCCTAAGTGCTGAGATCATAGGCGAGTGCCACTGTGCCTGGAGGCTTTTTTCTTATATTGGAACAGAATGGCTTTCTGAGCAATGTCTCCCCTCACCCTCGACTAAAATGTTTTGTTTCTGTTTTTTATTTTGAGGCAGAA